TACTTTATTATTTTTTGATTCTGTGAACCAGGGCTGTGGAGAAACACATGCAAACTTTCCTTCAACGAGAGAAGAAGAAGGTATAATTACTGACGTCGATGTTTACCTCCCCTGCCTTTCTTTTATTTTATAGAATGTTGGATTATACTTCTAAATTGGTGTGCGACCAAGCTAAGATTGTCTTTGTGAATATTTCCTGAAATTATTACATTGGTTGTGAATAGTTGCCAACATTTCTTGATTGGTTCGGCTGGTGCACATGGGATGCTTTCTACACTGACGTCACTGCTGAGGGTGTTGAAGAAGGACTCAAAAGGTAATAGAAATTTATAGTAATGTGAGCTACTGATTAATTCAAGATGCAAAGAAAATGCTATGATGATGTTAAGATGGTTGTCACTGAATTCTTTGTCTTTAATTGCAGTCTATCAGAGGGAGGGACCCCACCTCGATTTTTGATCATAGATGATGGTTGGCAGCAGATTGAAAATAAACCCAAGGACGGTGATTGTGTTGTACAAGAAGGGGCACAGTAAGATCTCTTTCTCCCTCACTCACACACAACACACACAGAAATGCGTGCGCACGTGCATGTACCCAATCACATGCTGAACCAAAAATTTATTATTATTATTATTTTGTATCATTAGTTGCCCACAAGTGTCTTGTATAAGGATCATGGACAGATCGAGCATCATCTGTCTTAGAATATTTTATATTTTCTCTGACAATTACCCTTTGTATTTTTATGGCAAAGCGTAGTTTGGTGTTAAAATTTTGTGCCTGGTTGGACGACTAAGGCTCTTAGATTAATCTGCCGTAGGATTTTGAAATTTTAATATTTCTTTTGTCGGGTTTCATATGATACATTATTTTTCAACTCTGTGCAAACAAAACTTTCTCCACCTATCATTTTTAAATGTTGTAAACTGAGAATTAGGAAAAAGTGGCCTGAGTAGAAAATCAAGAAGTTTTGGCAGCTGTAGTCTAGCATTACTTTTGTAGACCAGGTCTAGAATACAGCTCTCCTCATGAGAGGCAACTCTTAGGTGATGCATCCACAACCTGTGGGCAGGCTGGAGTAACCGGCTAAACAGGGCCAGCCTATTTCTTCAGGTGAACTGGAGAGGAACAAATATCTTAATGTTGAGTCTTCAGTGGAAGTTTTAATTTTGCACGGCCTAATGATTGTACCATTTTTTTTGGTGAAAAGATGATTGTACCATTATATCACCATATATTAGATATAACAGTCTGGTGAAGCCTATTTGTTGGTCCCTATCCTGGAAGTATTCTGTTTTTACTTTTGTGTGGTCCCAGTTTATGTCAGAAATCAGTCCTATCTCTTGGATTTTAGCTCAGTATTAATCCTTCAATGCATGTGAATGACATGTAGTTGAACTAGCTCAGTAGATGACATGTTTTGTCTTCTTTTGCTATCTCCTTTTTATATTCAACTTTCAGTCAATTATTTATTTTTCTTTTTTTTTTTGGACGATGATCTTGCACATTTAACCATGATTATTACAAAAATTGGATGCTGTTATGATGTTCAATTAATTCTTGCAGGTTTGCAAGTAGGTTGACCGGGATTAAAGAGAATGCAAAATTCCAAAAGAGTGGCCAAAACAATGAACAAATCTTGGGCCTAAAAAATGTTGTAGATGAGGCCAAGCAGCATCACAATGTGAAGTAAGTGGTCCAAGTTATTCTGGTTCGTGGTGTTTATTAGTTGGTTATGGTGCATTTTAGTGTGAACTCTCTTATGAAAGCAAAAAAAGACCGTCTTATATGCTTTGCAGATATCGCTCTCTCAACCAATATCTCCCTCAAGCAGATTCCCATTTTTTATTAGAATCAATTAATTAACTTCTCTCAACCAGTATCCTCCCTTAAACTTATTAATCATAACATCAAACTTTTCCCTTGGTCATTCTTCCTACAGTGATCTTGAATCAAAACAGCATATTTCAGTTGGCTACTAGTAGTAAATTTGAGTAAAGAAAGTCGACTTGTACTTAATTTGTCAATCTATAACATGGATCTTATTTTTGGAAGTTCATTCTCTGTAAATAATATTGACTTCTATCTCAAGGAACATTCTGACTTACTTTGAGCTTAGGTTTGTGTATGTGTGGCATGCGCTGGCTGGTTATTGGGGTGGAGTTAAACCTGCAGCGGCTGGTATGGAACATTTCGATACAGCATTGGCATATCCTGTTCAGTCCCCAGGTGTGATGGGCAACCAGCCAGACATAGTTATGGACAGCCTTGCAGTTCATGGCCTGGGTTTGGTGCACCCGAAGAAGGTTTTCAACTTCTACAATGAGCTTCATGCCTATCTGGCTTCATGTGGAGTTGATGGAGTGAAGGTTGATGTGCAAAATATTATTGAGACCCTTGGTGCTGGACACGGTGGTAGAGTGTCTCTTACCCACAGTTATATCCAGGCACTTGAAGCCTCAATTGCCCGAAACTTCCCTGACAATGGATGCATAGCATGCATGTGTCATAACACTGATGGAATCTACAGCACCAAGCAGACTGCTGTTGTTAGAGCTTCTGATGACTTTTATCCTCGGGACCCTGCTTCGCACACCATCCACATTTCCTCAGTGGCTTACAACACTCTTTTCCTTGGAGAATTTATGCAACCTGACTGGGATATGTTCCATGTAAGTAAAAATTAGTGTTTTATGCTTCTTAAGCCATCTGTAGTTTTCTTAAAGTCAGCTTGTAATAAGCATTTTTCACATGAAATGATGGTCAACCAATATTCTTACTAAATGAATCAGAAGGTGGGGGGGGGGGGGGGTGATGGATTATGACCTTATTTCCAATGTTATGGAAGAAATTACTTTTCATTCTCACTAAAGAAAGGCTCAAAATGAGGGTTAGAAGGGGCACTGATGATAATGTTGATGGTTTGCAGAGCTTACACCCAGCTGCAGAATACCATGCCGCTGCTCGTGCAATTGGTGGATGTGCTATCTATGTCAGGTATAGTTATGCTAAAGTTGATTTTTAATTTCACTAATCATAATGATAAGTTAGCAATTTCTAATATGCATTTTGTATTTGTGTTGTTTATGCAGCGATAAGCCTGGCAACCATAATTTTGAGCTCTTGAAGAAGCTGGTCCTTCCTGATGGATCAGTTCTCCGTTCCCAACTGCCTGGCAGGCCTACTCATGACTGTTTGTTTGCTGATCCAGCTAGAGATGGGATTAGGTGAGTAGCATTCTTTCTCATTGCTTGTTGCACATCCAGTGTTGCAGCTTTACCAATAGAATTCTATTTTGCAGCTTGCTTAAGATATGGAATGTGAACAAATGCTCTGGTGTGGTGGGTGTTTTCAACTGCCAAGGTGCTGGTTGGTGCAAGATCGCCAAGAAAACTCGCATTCATAATGCATCACCTGGTACCCTTACAGGTTCTGTTTGTGCCAACGATGTTGATTCGATCATTCAGGTTGCTGGTGCAGACTGGAATGGGGAGACTGTGGTTTATGCTCATAGATCAGGTAATTATTCTCTCTGCCTCCGGTGCCCTCAATGCCTCTTAAGTTCATTTATCTATAGATGTCCTCGTATCCCTTGCACTTTGTGAGGTGATGAGTGCCAATTGGATCTAGGCCCTTGGATTAACTGGATATATTTGAATGTGTATATATGATGTATTTACTAAAAGAATACCTTTTGACTTTCAGGGGAGGTGGTAAAGTTACCTAAAGGTGCGTCAGTGCCAATAACGCTTAAGGTTCTTGAGTATGAACTATTCCACTTCTGTCCTGTCAAGGTTAGTTTCTTTCAGTTCCTTTCCTTGCTTTTAGGCTGCTTTGTTAATATAATTTGACAGTGGTGGCTTATTCAGTTCCTTTTCCTATGGTGCAGGAGATTACCACAAACATTTCATTTGCACCAATAGGCTTGCTTGACATGTTCAACAGCAGTGGTGCTCTGGAGCAGTTCGAAGTACAAATGACATCATACGAGAAGCCAGAGCTCTTTGATGGTGAGGTTTCCTCAGAGCTGACAACTTCTCTCAGTGACAACCGGTCTCCAACTGCAACAATCACCCTCAAAGTTAGGGGTTGTGGGAGGTTTGGTGCTTACTCTTCTCAGCGCCCATTGAAGTGCACTGTGGGCAATGCTGAGACCAACTTCAACTATGACTTAGCGACTGGATTGGTGACACTGACTCTGCCAGTTCCGCAGGAGGAGATGTACAGATGGCCCATAGAAATCCAAGTCTAAGTAGTTTGAGGTTAGTAGCATCATGTTACAACTATCATCATTGATAATTGTTATGGGGGGGGGGGGGTTTATGACTGTCTAGTCGTGGTGATGTGTAATATGCGAGGAAATGAAGAGCGAGGGAGGCCCTTACATATAATCGGGGTCCTATGTTATTGCCACATTCTCTTTAATAAAAATGCCTACTTTTCAGAAAATCATTTTGTTCGTTGTCTATGGTTGAATAGCTGAATTATTGGCCAAAAGAAAAGGAGTAACTGAATTATTTGGCTGTTAGTTTCTAATTAAACCGTTTCTGAGGTTCAGTATATATCGGACCCATCCACGTACCATCTCAATGCCTGTTTCAACTATTATAGTGTAGGCATTTGGTCCTATTAAACATTCAATTAAATTTGCAGTATACGAGGTTGGCGAGTTGTGGAATCCAAAATTGGGTCCGGAAGCCTCTGATTTTCGTTTGAGAACCAAGTGGAAATTGCTATACTGGCAAATATTCATACACGTTGAAACAATTTTCCTTCACAGAAATCACTTTCTAGGCAAAGAAAGAAAAGCCAAACTGCAGTGGACATTCATATATGCAGGCTAACAACTGAAACAAGAAAGAAATGGTTTGAGAGTTGAAGTTTGTTATGTAACATTTAGACTAAAAAAAAAAAAAAGAGAACTTGAACTCGGAACATTATGTTGATGATTTAGGAAATTTGAGGATATTGACACTTATGTTGCTTGAGCACAGAAATCACCAGATCCAATTCTCGCCTACACGATAATGTTTATTCAAGAATGGTAAGGATATTAAAGAAAAGAAGTGGAGGATCAGTAAAATTAAGTCACCAATAATCCCTGCAAGAGCAACTACCATTTACAAACTTATGGAACCGAATTCTATCTCTAACAATTATTTCGCGCTCATAAAGTTTACTGATGATCTTTGTGACTTCATGGCAATCACTACAAACTCTTAGGTTCTTTACTACTCTAATTGGCACTGGTGCTTGAGTCTTCAAAAGTCCGTAAGCAATAGCAAGCCTCTCACTATGCTCACACAGGTAAATTCCTTTCTCTTCATCACCAACATTGTGCAGCACATCAGAAATATGTGGTTCATGCCCAGAATCACTAACTCGCTCAGAAATATCCTTCAAAACCTGTCTTATCTCCTTTGCCTCAGGATGGTACCAGTCTCCCATCACAAACTCATGCACAAAGCCATCAATTTCAATTGAGGTACACCCTGGCACTCCCTTCATGCCCTTTTCCTTCATCATCTTTCTCACATGGCTCATCTTCTCCCACTGTGAAACTGATGCATAGAAATTTGACAGCAGAATATAGTTCTCTGTATTCAATGGTTCTAATGCAAGAAGTTGTTCAGCTGCAATTTCACCTTTATGCAACATCTTGTTCTTCTGGCAACCAATGAGTAATGTTCGCCAAATTACTGGATTTGGAGAGAAAGGCATGGTTTGAACAAAATTGTAAGCCTCATCAACAAGGCAGGCTCGGCAGAAAAGATCAACCATACAACCATAATGCTCTATTGATGGTTCAATTCCTGACTCCATCATGCTTGACCAATATCTTCTACCCTCAGAAACTAGTCCACTATGGGCACAAGCAGCTAAAACGCCAACAAAGGCAACATGATTAGGTTCAACCTGGAAAAAAAAATAAAAGAAGAAAATGAGAATCACCAACTTGTTTTTTCGTTGCTCCAAACTATAACTACTTACTAAACGATGATTTTATCCTGGCAAGCCAGCCTGATGCAAGCATGAGCATATATGCATAGGTTCATAACATTATCTTCCAGAATGCAATGTTATGTGAGTCTAAACTATAATATGCATATCCTGTTATCTATGTCAATACCTCTGATTCTTCCATCCTAGAAAACGCTCCCAAAGCGTCTTCTGCTAGGCCGTGAACTGCCAGTCCAACAATCATCGAGCTCCAAGCTTTCTGGTCTTTTACTGGCATTCTCTCAAAAATTTCTTTTGCTTTTTCAATGCACCCACACTTTGCATACATGTTAACTAGTGCAGTACTCAGCATAATATCAGTCTTAATCATCTGCTTCTCAATATACACGTTAACCCACCTACCAATACCCAATGCCCCTGCCACAGCACATGCAGAAATCACACTCACCATTGTAACCTTATCAGGAACAACACCCAACTTTTGCATTTCCCGAAACGCACCAAACGCCTCATTGACCAATCCCATCATAGCATACCCACTTATCATTGTACTCCATGCTACCAAGTTTTTCTCTTGTATTTCATCGAACACATTCTCTGCAAGCCCAATATCTTCACATTTTGCATAAAAATTCAATAAACCAGTTTGTACAAACTGGTTCGAACCAAACCCAGACCGAAAAATATGGGCATGAACCTGCTGGCCCTCTTCAAAAGCCAAAATATTTGAGCAAGCCTTAAGCACAAAAGCCAGGGTAAAAGTATTAGCTGAAGGGTACCCTTTTCGTACCAACTTTTTATACAAAAAAATGGGTTCTTTCGATTGGCTTCCGATAAAAGAATAACCCCGAATAAGCGAATTCCAAGAGAATATATTTGGGTTCGGGTTTTGAGCGAAAACTTTGCGAGCATGATTGATATCTCCATGGCGAGAAAGAGCACAAAAACCAACTATTTTCGAGAGAAGGAAGGAGACGGAAGAGATGGGAAGGAGGCGAGTCAGAACATGCGCGTGGATTTGACGGATAAGGCGCGTATCTGGGCATTTTTCAATTAGATAAGCGATCTTCTCTTCCTCCAGCTTTTCTTCAGATTGTCGGAGTTTTTGTTTTTCGTTTTTTTTTTTTTTTGTCTGTAGAAGCCGGGAAAACTTTACTGGAATTTGAAAGCCAAGGCAACGGTTGATAGTGATAATAAATGGGCCAAGCACTCAAGCCTGGACTCCATATGGGCTTATTAAGGCACATAAGTATCCCTACCCTAGCTTTCTACTATTATTAAGAGGTGAGATAAAAATTCTAAAAAATTGATATGAAATGGTAAAGTTTCATTTAAATTAAATTATATATTAAATATATAAATTAGATTCGAATTAGATTTTGGATTGAGAAATAAAAAATCAAATAGAACTTAAATATATGTTTTTATTAATTTTTATATACATTTTAAATTTTTATAAAATAAAAACAATAATTTTATATTAAAATCTAATTAAATATATGAATATTTTATATTAAAATAATATATAAAAAATAAAAAAATAAATTTTAAAAATCAATAAACCTAATTGAACCAAATTGATAAAATTTGCTAAAGTTTGATTCAAATAAGATCATATGAAAAATTGATTCGAATTCGAATCAATTTTTAAAATTCATAATATTATAAAATATTTGAAAAACTTGAATTAAATCTAATTTGATTCGAACTATTATCAACCCTACTAGTAAGCAAGATATTGTCACTTTCATATTTCCTTTTGTATCTTCATTTCAAAATTCAAATCTTACATTTTTCCTTTTATTTAAATGCCATAAGTATTTATTTAAAAAAAGCCATAAGTAATAATAAAAAAGAATTGGAGAAAATTAAGAATCAGTGCTGGAACGTAGAAATTTTTTTTTCTTTTTGCGAATCTACCCAAATAAGAACAAAAGGGTATCAAGCAAATTAAATGGTATGTTTCTCATCACTTAATTTCCTCTAAAATTATGAATGAAATTGATTGCATGCAAATGTGTTGTTGCCATGAGCGTTAAAGGAAATTTAATGCCCATTTTGTTTTGTGTACACATTATAAGGTTCCGTTAGGATCTAATTCTTAGACAAAAGACATGAGCAGTTATCTGTTCTAATCCGTTTCTTTTGTACCATACCACCTTGGTCCACCAGAAAAAAAAATTGGCCAAACAATCAAACAAGACTTTTTTTTTTCCTTTTATTTTATGCTTACGGCAAAAAAACTTAAATTTTGGTGTCAGGTTTAGATTTAAGGTCGTGAAAAAACATGTGTCGCCAATGGATTTGCTAATTCTCAACTATTATAACCGAAATCTACTTATGGATTGCTTATTCTTGGTCTACAACCATTTGGTGGAAGAACAGAAAATTTATTGATATTAATAATTCTTTAGGGTTGCCTAAAGTCTTCCATTCATGCATCATGCAGAATGACTATCAGCCGCAATATATTCTCTATGCCAAAACCATCACCCTTACTCCAACATTATATGATCTCACCACCTTGTGATACTATCCTAGCATCCTTTCAGGTGTACCAAAGATGCACGCTTCTCTGATTACGCGGACCATCCACACGCGACACGTTTAGTTTTGCCATTTGTACAAGCCAGCCAACATACAACTACAACATACAACTACTTGCCTGGTTTAACTTCTCTAGGGTTTGATGATCATGGCTGAGTTTGGCATAATTTGAAACTAATTCCACATGTTACACGTAAAACTAAAGTGGCTTAATGACCACAAATTTTGAGGCTTTGTGGCGCCTTCCAACTCTTTATTTATCAAAGTAGATAACCCTAAAGCCTGAAGGGCTGAAGTTCCTAACTAATATATGAACCATGCTTTTTGTGTGATGTCATGAGTATAGTTTAACGCAAGATTTTGAATGTCTAGACGAATTTAAAACTATGGATAACTATTATCCATATATTTTTATTTGGAGATTTCGTATTGATTTAATTTTTTGAACAAAAGATGTATTTATTAATAAATCAAATATTCAGGTATAATCATCAAGATTTAAGATGTAAAAATATATCAAAATACTTAAACATTTTAACAATTTCATGCATATATATATATATATATGCCACGGATTAAACATTAATTAATTGTGATTGGCCAAAAAAACCATTAATTATTTGTGTGGTTACTTTATTATTGCATGCCATCTGGTATTAAAAGGTTGAATCCTATTCAAATTAAGGTTTAATTATTACATGAATGGTTTAGAATTAGAAACTTCGATTTTGAAATTTGAAAATAATTGCGTTCTATTATAAGTATTTTAAATTTGTGAATGTTGATTTTTTTTTTTTATATATATAAACAAAGTAAAACATGCATCTTACATATGCATGTAGAATTATTATTAGGTTTGTGATTTAATGATTCTTTATATAATACCAAAGCATGTATGATATGATCAACCTTGTTCTTGTAAGTAATATAATTAAACATCAAGAGGAAATAAACAATATATATTTATATATATCAGGAGAGCCATTGGGTTTTTTTATTACATAAATAACATGTTCTTTAGGATTTGAATTTAAAATTCCTAACCTTTGGGAACATGCTTGATCTCCATTAGGGTGTGAAGGCCATGCCAAATCTTTAAACCCTATAAAACGTGATGTAAGTTTTAACTTTCAATCATAATATATATTACAAAAAAATAAAAATAAAAATTGCAGTACAATATTGCAATGAAATTGCATAATGAATTGCATCACACATCTATGTCTTGTGTCTTTCGTGCAATATTTTATTTTTATTCACGATTTTTAAATTTTAATTTTCAAATTCATGGCCTTTTATAAATATTAAAAAATTCATTCATTTATTTTAATCTCTATAAAATCTGATAAAATTTATTATGTCGATGCCACATGAATCCTTTTCATATAAAAAAAAAGGGTAAGTCCATTTGATTTTTTGGTTAAAATTTATTTCGATTGTTCATATGGTATATAATTTTAATTAAAAAGCTTTAGATTCAAAAATTAAAATTTAAAAATCATATATATATTAAAATGAAATATAGTGCAAAAATCACAAATGATTGGTGAGTTTTAGTCAACTAGTTGGTATTATCTTTAATTTGCATATTTTCATAAAAATGTACAATTTTTTAAAAATAAGTCGCCATTCAATTCAGAACTTTCTAAAAAGTGAAGGAAATGAAACGCAAAATGGCAAAAATTACCTGAACGAAGTCTCCAAAAGGTGGATAAAGGGTGGGTGTTTTTAGATTGAGGTGCCTTCTCAAACCATTAAGTTCCCATGCATTGCGTGCATTTTGCCTTGATAAAGTCACAACATGTTTTGTGGCAACCTATAATATTATTTAGGGTGACTTATAAGAATCTAACACCTAAAAAATATTTCAAAATTGTGCCTTCACTTGTTCTTTTTTCCCCTCTTTTTGTGCAAACCAACAAGAAGCAATTGGTTTTTGCTATCTCAACCATCAATATCATCACTTTCTCTTGAAATTATAAGAGCCAAAAGTGATTATAACATTAAGTTCTTGAAACTCTAATTTTACAAATCATAACTCCGACATCATACAAACACATTATATATTAATTCAAGAGGGATTAACTTAAACAATTCTTATACATATAGTTATATTTTTTGAGTGGAAAATTTTTTAATAGTACATATATATTTGTATTCTTTTTACTTGAAATTGTTATAATTTAAATCTTAATCATTAGAACTAAAAATTTAACATTTTATAAACAGATCATATATCTATTGACTTACATATATATATATATGTATATAGAAATGTACCTATATTTATAGACACCTAATTTGGTTCAGGCCCGGATCAATTGGGCCTGGTCCAAATGGGTTGGTCCACTTTATTTTTTTTATTATTTTTGTATTTTATATTTTATATTTATTTATATTATATATATATTTTTTATCTTTTATGTATTTATTATTTACTTATTATTATTACTATTTATAATATATATATCTTTATTATTATATTTTTTTCTTTTTCTTTTTTCTTTCCTGTTAATATTTATATATTATATATATATTTATTACTTAGTATATATTATTATTATTTATCTATTTATATGTTATAATTTATCTGTTAATCTCTTGGTTTATTTGATTATTTTCATTTAATTATCTATTAATATTTTTTATTATTATTTGATTTTTTTTATTTTTTTGATTTTTTTTGGCCGAAGATTGGATTGAGATTCAATCAGAGTCCATATTAGATTCAATGATTGAATCCCAATCTAAAGAGGAGTTAGGATTGATCAGAAACTCTTCTGATCAATCCATATAAAAGGACCCACGGATCAAAGGAAAAACACACAGACAAAAGAGTTACTGACTGAGAGAAAAAGACAGACAGAAGAGTTTTGAAAGATGAAAAAGGGTTTAGAGTCGTTAAAATAGCTTTAGGAATCGGTGAGAAATTTTTTGAGATTTTTTCTGGAAATTTTTACAAAATTTTCAAATTTCGATTGAATTTTTCAACGAAGGTTGAATTTTTCGGTGACTATTCCGGCCAAGTTTGAAGTTTCCGGCCAGTTGCTCAGTTTTCGATGAGGATTTCTAGAAATCGATTAACTTTTCGATGAATTTTTGACAAAAAATCTAAATTCTGGTGAAATTTTTAGAATCCGGTGAATATTCAACCGGAGTTCTTCGAGAATTTTTAGAGAGAAAGGAAAAAAAAGAAAGGAAGAGAGAGAGAGGAAAGGCTCGGTCTGATGAAAAAAATGAAGAAATCAGCCTTATATACCCTCTCAAAATGATGCCGTTTCTACGTTAAGTAACCCAGAGGATCCACGTGTTTTATCAAGATTCGACCCGACCCGAGCGTCAACCCGTTTTCGACTCGCACGTGACCTGCTTCTCCGAGCCGTTAGTCAAGCCGAGCTGACACCCCAAGTCACATCTCTGAGCCGTTTTTATTTCTTGAGCTGAGCCGAGCCGTAAGTCGAGCCATTCCCAGGTTTTTTTTTTTTATTTTTCTTTTTTTTTATTATTAGATTAGGTTTGCTTAGTATTTTTTTAATTTCTATTTTTTATTTATTTTTTATTTGTATTTTCATTTTTTTATTTTATTTTCTTTAAATAAAATTCAAAAAAAAATATTTTTTGAAGAAAAGTTGAAAGTATCAATTTTTTTTGAAAATAAGCTTTCCAAAAAAATATTTTTGGAGAAAAGTTGAAAGTATCAATTTTTCTTAAAAATAAATTTTCAAAAAAGGTTTTTTTGAGGAAAAGTTGAAAGTATCAACTTTCCTCGAAATTAAAGTTTTTCAAAATAAATATTTTTGAGAAAAAGTTGAAAGTATCAATTTTTCCTTGTACAGAAGCAATCATTTTTCTTTTTTTTTTTATTTCTTTTGAATTTTTTTAATGTTAAATAATCCGACGACGGAGTCTCTGCAATGAAACAATAGTTTTCTTGCATACTTTTGAGGTGAGGGGATTTTCTCAATTTTTTGCTAAAAGTATTAGAGTTAATTGAGAATAATTTTAAATAATTAATTATTTGATAAATTTTTAAGGCTTATTGGACAACACAAAATTAAGTTGGTATCATCTTTTGATGGGCGTTGTGAGGGTGCTATAACCTTCCTCACACGTAACCGAACTCTCGAACCCTGTTCTGGTTAGTAGACCTGAAACTATTCTTTTAGGGACCTTTAAACTTAGGTATTCTCTAAAATGATAGATTTTTTAGGTGATCAATCGTACCTAAATAAAAAAGATTGGTGGCGACTCTTTAAGTCAATGTTTAGTTATAGATTTTTGGATCTAGATGTTATGACAATATTTATGAATTCTTTGAGCATCGGATATTGGAGCAAAAGTGAGAGGCTGCCAACAGATTATTTCGTCTCAATCTCTCGTATCCTAGAGACCATACCTTCAAGAGTCTTGCTGAAAGACACTAAGCAAACTCTCTCCTTTTCTCAGAATTTTTTTCTATAAATATAGAATCCCACCATTAAACTAATTCACAACCATACCCTATATCTCCAGCTGCTAGCTTTCAGATTAGTTTTTTTTCTTTTACAAAACAAGAAACAATGGCTCTACAAATTAGACAAGTACTGCTAGCCCTATACTGCATAACCATTTTCTCTTTATTCTCACGTTACAACTTTTTGAAAGACCAGAACCCACCTTCTTCTTATAATTACTTTGATCATCAAGTGTTAGATGCCGCTGGCTATGATCCACAAGCATACCCTTCATATTTCAGCACCATTGAAGATGACAAGTTTAAGGATTCGATCAGACCAAGGGCTGAAGTTATTAGCCTCCAGAGATTAGGTATCACATCAACTTCAGCTAAAGCAGTTAATGTCGATGATTTTGGAGCTACTGGGGATGGAACTGATGACACTGAGGTTAGAACACATTAAATTTTAATGCATTGAATTTTCTTTTTCAATTGCAGTTTTTATGTGACATTATCATCCTTGCTTTATATATGCATAGCTATTTGATGATTTTCATAATTATAGTTATAATAATCGCTCTAATATACTTTGAAAAATGAAAATTTTGATACCTTGATTTGTTTTTAATATCTAACTAGAATAAATTATATTAGTACGTAATTTTTATGTAATATTTAATTTATTTTCACTCATTACTTAAAAAATTTGACTTTTTCATTCATGATCTTTTTAATTTGTTTCAAATCTATTCATTCATCAATACGCTATTATAATATGTATAAAAATATGGACCAAATTTGACACGCAACACTTTGGCCAACATTATATTCACATTTGAAGGGTGTATTAAAGAGCACTGTGATCTTTTTTTCTCATTTTATGATTTGCAGGCATTCGAGAAGGCATGGGAGGAAGCTTGTTCGTCAAAGGGTGCAGTTGTTGTTGAGGTGCCCGAAGGAAAGAGCTATCTTCTTAAGCCTATTAGATTTTCAGGTCCCTGCAAATCTAATCTTACAATCCAGGTGAGCCGGAAAACCCCATTAATTAATTAATAATTACCTCAACCTCAAGGTGACGATGGATCATGATCATCTGAAGAATCGTATGAAAATTTCAGATATATGGAACTATAGAAGCATCTGATGATAGAGCAGACTACAAGGAAGATAGAAGACATTGGCTTATCTTTGATAGCGTTGATAATTTGTTAATTGAAGGTGGTGGGACTGTCAATGGCAATGGGAAGATATGGTGGCAGAACTCTTGCAAAATTAACAAACATCTTGTAAGCTAGCTCTATATATGATGATTTGCTTCATTTATATTCTAGTTATGATCTTCCTTCTCTAATCAAATGCTGACTATTTTTGTTTCTTTCATTGTGTAATTGCAGCCATGCAAGGATGCACCAACGGTAGGTTAAAATTTTCTTGTTATTTTGTTTTTACTCATCATGCATGCCAGCTATAACTTCAAAATAGAGATTCAGAACAGATAGTTTCAATTTGATTTCCAAAGCAAAACAGATGTATTAGTGTATTATTTAACTTTCATCATTATTTTTAATAAAATCATTGAATTATAGAATTTTCAAAAATAAAATTTGTAAATTTTGAATTTCAAAATTTTAAAACACATTTGACTAAAAAAATCAAATATGAATAAAAAAAAGGCAAAAAAAAAAAAATACTATATGCCAACTCCTTAAAAAAAATTAATAAATATCTATTGATTTTGTTATTTATTACTTTTGTCGCTGATAAGCTAGTCTTGGTTTAAGCTGGGCTGAAAAATGTTTTGAGTCATATTCATGAAACTCACAAAATGTTGAGTCATATTCATGAAACTATTTTTGTTCATATGAATGGTTTTGGAAAACTTTCTTTCAGGCACTCACCTTTTACAATAGCAAAAACTTGAAAGTGCGAAACTTGAACATCCGAGATGCACAACGAATTCATGTTTCCTTTGAACAATGCACCAATGTTCAAGCTTCTCGTCTGACAGTAACAGCCCCAAAGAAAAGTCCTAACACTGATGGGATTCATGTCACACATACTCAAAACATCCAGATCACAAACTCTGTCATAGGGACTGGTACGCTATATCATTCATTTATCATATCACACTCAAAATTCTAACTACTTTTATTCTTTAACTTGATCTTTTTGTTATTAACTCAAGGTGACGATTGTATCTCCATTGTAAGTGGATCAAAAAATGTGCATGCCATGGACATAACTTGTGGCCCTGGTCATGGAATCAGGTTTTTAACTCAAACTTATAATCTTATATATATATTGGATTTCTGTTAAGTCTTAATAAAATTTCTTGTGAAATCTTCTTTATATCAATTAGTTTTAAGTTGTATACTTAAAACATTCTGTCAGAGCTTAGGTTTTGTTCTGTGTTCTTCTTGCCTCATACCCTGCTGAATTGGTCATGTCATAATCTCGCGTACACGTAATAACACTTGTTAAAGTGGTGTTATCTCATATTTGTTAAGTCTTTGATTACTTATAATCTTATATTCAAATTAAACCTCTTTACTTATAGTCAATTGGTCTTAAGTTGAATGCTTAACATAGTATGGGAATCCAAGTTCTGTTATGTTATCCTGCTCATGTGCCTGTTAAAGTGGTACAATCCCACAACTGTTAAGTTTTGAATTTTCTGTGATCTTATGCTGAAGTTGGGCACTCCATTTATTGCTTTTTGGTTGAATGGTTTATATATATATATATATATATATATATGTATATATATTGATCTTAACAAGCACTAAGTCAATCCTGAATTGATAATCACATCATGGATAAATATGGATTCCGTGATTTTCAAATTTTTTTCCATTTATGTTTCTTATATCTTTATGTTTGTGATGATGGAACTCAGTATCGGGAGCTTGGGGTCAGGAAATTCAAAGGCTTATGTTTCCGGTGTGACTGTTGATGGAGCTAAGCTTTCTGGAACCACAAATGGAATGAGGATCAAGACTTGGCAGGCAAGTGCAGCACTGCTAATAATATCATGCCTTCAGGATCCTTTAATTACTCACATGACATTAACATCCAATCTTCTATAATTAATGATCTCCAGGGAGGGTCAGGAAGTGCAAGCAACATCATATTTCAAAACATTGAAATGTATAATGTGTCCAATCCCATCATCATAGATCAAAACTACTGTGATCAAGATAAACCGTGCAATAAACAGGTGATCAAAAAGAAATAACTGTTTGTTTATTTATGAAAAAGAGTAATCTTATATTTTTTATTTTCTAACGTAGAAGATTTCTATTTGTTTAATTTGTGCAGAGCTCTGCAGTTCAGGTGAAAAATGTGGTGTACAAGAACATCAAAGGGACTAGTGCTTCTGAAGTGGCAATAAAATTTGATTGCAGTAGCAGTCATCCATGCCAAGGGATTTTGCTACAAAATGTTAACTTGCAGGAACAACGAGATAAAACAACCAAAGCTATCTGCAACTATGTTAAATTGAGTGAAGGGAAAGCTGTTTCCCCACAATGCCCTTGACCTCAGAGGAATGGATATCAATCAGGAGATTAGCCTTGACATGTAAAATACTATATATAAAATGTATGTCAATAACACAATCCAGATTATTTGTTCAGGAGTCCACTCAGCAGTTCAGTTTGCAGATAAGGACAAATGAAGAAATCACTAGAACTGCTTGGATCCTCACTTACAAGTTACAAACTTGCAGAGATTGTTTCTCATTACAATGGCTGGGCTGACTCTATAAATTAGTACTATTTATTTGGAAATAGATATGGAAGATTGTTAATTTGATGCAGGATATACTGTAATAACATTGTTATAAAATCTAATTATCTGCTTGCCTTATGAATAAAATTGAATTCCTATAATATTGCAGTGAATAATGAGATTTGTTTACAATTTACAGTGTGAATCCCCTTCACAATCATAGCTCATTAAATTCAGAAAATTTCTCAGTTTTCCTTTGGCATCAATCATAAAGACTGCAAACATTCTTCATTAAACAGATTTTATTCTTCAAATATTCTTCATTAAAAAAGGCTTTCGCATGCATCGGTGTGAAATATAATGTTTTTGATTGCAAATTTGAAGCTTTAATTAAGCACTTAATACATAGTTATAGACCTTTATAGAAAAGAATAATGAATAATAATGCACATTTAAACCATTCATAATTATGAAGACTAAATATAGCCATGCATCTAGGCCTTTAAACATAAGAGATCATGAAGAAATATTATTCAAAGATCTCAATCTTTCTTATAATATATAAGCTCATCAACGTTTCATGGTTTTCACTATCATATACAACTACAATCATATGTCATCAGTCTTCTGCTCCTTTTTATTTTTCCTGTTAACAATGAAATTGCAGAGACATCTTTTCTCATCTATCATTATCTTTTTCTCTTTGTTCTCAACTTATTACCTTGGAGAAGTATCTGGTTATAATGCTCAAGCTCATGCAAATCCTTCATATTTCAGCTCCATCTGGGACGGCAAGTTAAAGGGGTTTTTCAAGCAGACAACTCGGGGTCTTACATTGCACAGGTTTGATGATAATAGGGAAAATTTCTCTTCATTGCCTGCAGGTGGAGGACCTACATCTAAAACAGTTAGTGTCGATGATTTTGGAGCTAAAGGTGATGGAACTGATGACACTGAGGTACTCACCTAACAGCATATTGTGGTTTTTCGCAGCACATAATTTTTCTCCCATGGACTAACCATTTCTATTTTCTCTAGACTCGAATTAAGTTGGAATATATCTATGCTTTGTATGTACATAAATGGAATCATTTTTTTTTTTTTTTTTTATAATTGAGACTATCGGGATTTGAATCTTGATTACTGGAATTATGAGTCTAACACTGTTGGTTGGAATCACTTTGTAATCATGCAAATTAATACAGAAGGAATTAAGAATATCATGACTTTTGGGGTCGATTTGGAATAACTATTTTTGCTTCTAACAGAACCATCAACCATTGTTGCCTGTGATTTTGCTAACATATATTTGTGCCAAACATGTATATGCTGACAGAAATATTACAAGGATGTGATGTGAGTAAAAAGAAACAAGAAAAAGGATCAAATATAAACATGATTTTTGTTTTTATCCAAAAACAATGTTTTAGTTAATTATAAGAGAGAGACTATTTATGATTAGAGAGTATTATAATAATATTGGCTAATTATACTATGAAAAGTATATTTGTTATTATGAGAGAGAGAATGTTATAGTAATTTTGGCCAATGATGGTAAGATGACATTTCTTCAATTATGATTGTAGCAATAATATGGTAACTTTGACCAATTATGATAAAAAAGGTATTTTAATAAATATATTAAAAAAATTATATTAATTTTGATTAATCATAGAAAGAGAAATACTACAATCAATTTAAATACATGTAATTCAATTGTCAAGTAATTAAAAATGTATTATGATCATTTTTAAGGGAATTAATTTCATAATATTAATGTAATTTCTAGACTTTAGAAACATTTGGGCTTGAATTTGAACAAAACATATGGATTAGAGAGGTCAGTAAAGATTATCTTTTGTTCCCCAATGTAACCATTCTTGTTTTCTTTTGAACTCTGTCAGGCATTTGAGAAGGCTTGGGAGCAAGTGTGTTCTTCTCCAGACGGAGTAACTTTTGTAGTGCCTAAAGGAAAGAGCTACCGTCTTAAGCCAGTTAGATTCACTGGTCCTTGCAAATCCAATCTTAGAGTAGAGGTAAGATCTATAATTTAGACAGACAAAGGTCCATTAATTGTTATAAGTTCCAACGAAGTTACCAAGTAATGTTGAAATATGTTAGATATATGGAACCATAGAAGCATCTGATGATCAATCAGACTACAATGAAGATTCCAGGCATTGGCTTGTCTTTGATAGTGTTGAGAATTTAGTAGTGGAAGGTGGCGGAACTATTAACGGCAATGGCCAGATATGGTGGGAGAATTCATGCAAAAGAAAAAAAGATAAAGTAATCGAGTAAAATTTCTCAATCTTGCTTCATTTTCTCATCCTCTAATCAAATCCGAAAGGCTAACCATCCTTGTTTCTTTTGTTGATTACAGCCCTGCAAGGGAGCCCCAACGGTATGTACTCTGTTTTTATGTAGCAAACCTGTACTAGGAGATTGCCAACTTATGATTTAGAGACTATGGTTTGGCAGGCTCTGACCTTTTACGAGAACCAGCATTTGGTGGTGAACAACTTGAAGATCCAAGATGCGCAGCAAATACATGTTTCTTTTGACAAATGTGTGGATGTTCAAGCTTCCAATCTGGTAGTGACCGCACCAGGAGATAGCCCCAATACTGATGGAATTCATGTCACCAAGACCCAAAACATCCTCATTGAAAGCAGTACTATTGGAACTGGTATATACCAAAATCAAGTAAAACTATTAATTGAACTAATCCTTAGTTGGTTCCTTACCACAATAATCTATCTAATTGTTTCAAGCTTATATCTATCCAAGGTGATGATTGTATCTCCATTGTAAATGGATCCCAGAAGGTTCAAGTCCACGACATTACTTGTGGTCCTGGTCATGGAATCAGGTATTGAACTCTATGCCCTTACACAAAATGTTCACAAAAAATTTAATTCATTTAAACAATATTTTCTTCCTTGATTTTTATCTTCCACCGGCTAATCAAAAGTATCTTAGATTCCCTTTGGTTACCAATTCCTAATTACATTTGTGTATATATGCATGCATGTGTTGACCACATATTTTTCTTTTCTAAATGGTGGGCATATAAGTATTGGGAGCTTAGGGGAAAATGGTTCAAGAGAATATGTTTCGGGAGTAATTGTAAATGGAGCTAAGATTTCTGGAACCTCAAATGGAGTGAGGATCAAGACATGGCAGGTTAGAACCAGCAGATATATATACTTAAACTCATGAATTAAGCATATACCATTTCCAGCATTATTCATTCAACATTCATTTTCTTTTTCTCTGATGCAGGGAGGGTCTGGCTCTGCAAACAATATCAGATTTGTGAATGTGGAAATGAATAATGTGACTAACCCAATTATAATAGACCAAAACTACTGTGACCAGGACGAACCCTGCAAAGAACAAGTAATTTCTGCAACAATCAATAGTGCGTATGGTATCAATTAAGCATACATTTATATCAACAAGAACTATTTGTTTGATTAATTTGCAGCCATCAGCAGTCCAAGTGCAAAATGTGGTTTACCAAAATATTCATGGAACTAGTGCTTCGGATGTCGCCATAGATTTTGATTGTAGCAAGAGCCATCCATGTCAGGGGATCACATTGCAAAATGTTAACCTTAAAGGAGAAGAAAATGAAGCAACCACTGCAACATGCAACGATGTTCAAACCATAACAATAGGCAACGTTTATCCAGCTTGTTCCTCAAAACAAATAAACATAAAAGCCTGAATCAGGAAAGTGAAGATGACTCAGCACGAGTTCTAAATAATATAGTTTGATGAGATTATTTTTTTTTTTTTCTAAATCTAGAAAAGAATTACATGTGTACATTTCACATTGAAACGCTATTGGGAAATGGAGTTCGAAAATATAATGATCGAAATAGTCCGAATAGAACACATAAAATGTTTCTTTTAAATTTGTTTCTCACACCAGTTTTTTTATTCGTATTTTAATACAACCACCATAATCATTAATAAATAAATTAAGAACCGTCTGTCCATTTCATATATATCATGGCTTGGGCAACACTAGGGCGACAGGAAGCAGAATAAGAAAAGAACCGCAGCGAACCGACCGGACAGACAAAATAAGAATGAGATAAATGATACGGTTTGGCATAATCAATGATACGACACATGTCATATTCCTTTTAGTAGGACCCCAAGACCAAGAGTACAATGTGTCAGCAAAACGACAGAAAAAGATCACCAATCTTGACTGTTCAAGTTGAGGTGTTAGTTACCCTCTTTCTACTGTTGCAGCTTTTCTTTAATTGGAAAGAAAAAGAAAAGTACTAAAATTTAATGTTAAGTTAGGGGGTCTGGGATCTTTGCAAGTTTTGCCTTGTTTCACTCTGCCTTAGTGTCAGTGTGATATACTCCGTTTGTGTGTGTATGTGTGTGTGTGTGTGTGTGTGTTTTTTTTTTTACAGCTTCTCATTGTGAACTTCTTATAGGGGGAGCGGAGGTGGGGGTGTTTCAGACCCCAATTGTCTCTCTTTTTTTTTTTTTTTTCAAATCGGTTTATTTTTTATTTTTGATTTTGGGTTGAATTTCATTTCAATGAAGTTTTAGTCTTTGGGTAGTTTCTTGATCTGGGGAGTTGCACTTGAATTGGGTTTTCTCGGACATTGGTCTTGGGGACCAAATCGATCCAACAGCAGATTCAGTGGTCAGTTGAAAACACTCTAAATTCCTTTGTTTTGATTTTGCTACTTCTTTCCTTCTTTTTTTTTTTTTTGGGTTTTTTTTGTATCCAAAATTTGATCTTTGTTTGCCTTGTTTGGATCTCTGGAGGTGTAGTCAGGAAAAGGAAACAAATATTGCTTTTGAATTGTTTCAATATTTTTTTTTGACCCATTGTTAAGAATCTGCCTTGCCTTCTGCTAGTCATCTTAAAGATCCAAATGGATTCCACTTGTTTGAACAACTCTACATTCCTTAGATGGATTTGGTTTATATTGTTTATTTGTTAGGTTCTGGAAATCTGAATCTTGTTTTTAGCTTCATTCTATACTTTTTTGATTCATGGTTATTCTCTGAAGTGTTTTGCAATGTTCATTTATTAGTAGAAGTTAATTTATAATGGGATCATATGTTCCCAAATTCCATTAAGGTAGAAGTGGTCCACTTTCTTTCATGATTTCTACATCTGGGAATTATGTTGCTGTATTTAAAAACGACTATTTATAACTACATTTTGTTCTTTTTTTCCTAGAAAAAACATTTCTGAATTTTAGTTTTATTGCTTGAAGGTGAAATCCGGTAAAATTGTGGGGCAAGTTTGCGATCTGCAGTGATAATGTTGGTCTGACTGCTGATGGTGAGCCCTCTGTTGCTTGTCATGTTTGTGCATTTCCTGTTTGCCGTTCATGTTATGAGTACGAGAGAAAAGATGGTACGCAGTCTTGTCCTCAATTCAAGACCAAGTACAAGAGGCATAAAGGTTAGATCGTCTTAACTTTCGTCCGTCTTATGCTGTTGGTCTGGTGACAAATATCAGACAAGTGATGCATATAGGTTCTTCTTCACCTTTAGGAAGCCCTGCGATTAGTGGGGAAGAAGTGGAAGATACCGTTACCAATAATGTAGCAAACAATTCAAATCATACATCAATGACACAAAGCGAGAAGCATAAGAAGGCAGAGAGAACGCTGAGTTGGGATACGAATTATAGCTGAGGGGAGGACATGGCTCTCCCCAACTACGATAAAGAAGTTCCTCTTAGCCATATTCCTTTTCTCACCAATGGCAGTTCGGTAGGTTGAGGAATAATTCACACTTTTTTCTTGCTTCTCTTGTTTTTCTCAAATCTGAGAGTAAAATTAACAATAACTCCTTTTGATTTTGAGTTCTAGGTTTCTGGGGAGATATCTGCTGCATCTCCTGCAAGAATCTCAATGGCATCTCCTGAAAGTGGGATCAGGGGAAAGAGTATGGATCTAATCCATTATGCTGAAGGTGTTAATTTGGTTTTGGTTTTGCTGTTGGATGCTATAACTAAGTGATAAGTTTTTTTTTTTTCTTCGCAGATAACATTAGGTTGGTTGATCCAGCTAGAGAGTTTGGGTCATCAGGGTTTGGCAATGTAGACTGGAAGGAGAGGATTGATGGTTGCAAGATAAAGCCAGAGAAGAATGCAGTTCCGATGAGTGTTAGTAATGCCCCTTCTGAATCTTGGGGAGGTGGAGATTTTGATGCCAGCACTGATGTAGTAATGGATGATTCTATATTGTAAGTGTCTCACTTTATTCACTTTAATGCATTCCTGTTCATTCAATGTGAGCATATCTCTATCAGCTGCTGAGCATCATTCTATCCTTTTACTTCATCCCAATTTGCACTTTCTTTTCTCTCTCTTTCTTCTTTTCATTCTCCAGTTCCTTCTTCTCTCTACGTGTGCATGTAGTCAATGAACTTCTTTCTTCTAGTTGACTAAAATAGAAAAAAGAAAGTAATGCATAGTTTATAATTCAACATGATAAATATACAAATCAAGATGCTGTGTAAAGTAATCTTCAAAACGTATTGCTCTCTCCATATGGTCCCTATCAGGTCGAACTGTGTATTTGTATAAAAATATTAAGTTATGCTGTATCCTTTGGTAACCATGTCGGCGGCCTTCCACAAAGATATAGAGACATTATAAGTGATGCTATAATTTAACTAGTGTTTCACCTGAAGGCTTGCAAGCCTTGTTCTATCTTGGTAATCAGTGATGGTATATGATGCATAGTTTCCGATTAACACTACTCCTTCTGGAGTGTAAGGGTAGAAATTCTGCTGAGTTTTTCCCTATATTCTGATTTAGGCATACTTTTATATATTAGAAAATAGTTGATCCTTATATTTTATATGCTTTTTTTCTATTAATCTTCTATATATGTTTTTGTTATGCAGAAATGATGAAGCCCGCCGGCCTCTATCAAGAAAAGTCTTAATTCCTTCCTCTAGAATCAACCCTTATAGGATGGTCATTGTTTTGCGGCTCATTATTCTCAGCATTTTCCTGCACTATCGTATAACTAATCCAGTTCGCAATGCCTTTATGGTTGATATCTGTGATTTGTGAGATATGGTTTGCAATATCATGGATATTGGATCAGTTCCCTAAATGGCTTCCTGTGAACCGTGAGACATATCTTGACAGGCTGGCTTTAAGGTAGTTACTCCACTTCTGAGATCTTGGATGACACAAAACTGTTTGAAGTCCTAATGGATTTTGATTTCCAATTTCTGAATAATCCGCAGATATGACCGAGAAGGAGAGCCATCCCAGTTGGCTGCTGTTGACATTTCTGTCAGTATAGTTGATCCTTTGAAGGAACCTCCACTTGTCACAGCCAATAAAGTCCTATCCATTCTTGCAGTTGACTACCCAGTTGACAAAGTTTCCTGCTATGTTTCAGATGATGGAGCTGCTATGTTAACATTTGAAGCTCTGTCTGAAACTTCAGAATTTGCCAGAAAATAGGTTCCTTTCTGCAAGAAATGCAGCATTGAACAACGAGTGCCATAATGGTACTTTGCACTAAAGATTGACTACCTAAAAGAAAAGGTTCAACCAGATTTTGTCAAGGAACGCAGAGCTATGAAGGTATAAAATTCTACTTTCATTTAATTATAGTGATACCGGAATAGATATTTGCACTGTTTTTCACAACAACTATACTTTTGTTGCAGAGAGAATATGAAGAGTCTAAAGTTCGTATTAATGGACTTGTTGCGAAAGAACAGAAAGTCCCTGATGAAGGATGGGTTATGCAAGATGGCACTCCTTGGCCTGGAAATAACACGAGGGATCATCCAGGAATGATCCATGTTTGTTCAGTTAGAACTGGCTTTTTTTGTTCATCTGCAGGAAGGGCCTTCCTAGTAATACTTGGTTCAGGTTCTTTATATATAGCAATTAGTTTTGAGAAGAGAGATTTTTCTTTTGAGTCCATAATATCAAGATGTCAAGATATTTCTGAATGCTTTATTATATGCTAAATATCTGAATCTGATAATTTTGAAAGCTAATTTATCCTTACTCTACATTTACTATTACATATATCTCTTCAGTTTTAGTTTTATTCTCCATGATGTGCAAATTGTGATTTTTATGACACCACAAAGACTGTTATTGGCTTTCCTTCTTGGTTTGAAGCTCATGTCATATTCTTACTTCATAATTGGCAGGTCTTCTTGGGTCATAGTGGAGGACTCGATTCTGAAGGTATGAGCTTCCAAGATTAGTCTATGTGTCTTGTGAGAAGCGTCATGAATTTCAGCATCACAAGAAGGCTGGTGCTATGAATGCACTTGTAAGTATCTGTAATTTAGTCTTATAGATTCTTGTGTTTTGGCATGTACCCAGCTTAACAATATGTGTACCAATATCAGGTTCTTGTTTCGGCAGTTCTCACCAATGGACCATTCTTGTTTGATCTTGATTGTGATCATTACATAAACAACAGCAGGGCATTGAGAGAAGCTATGTGTTTCTTGATGGATCCCAATCTTGGAAAGTCAGTTTGTTATGTTCAGTTTCCCCAAAGATTTGATGGGATAGATAAAAATGATTGTTATGCCAATCGTAATACTGTTTTCTTTGATGTAAGCTTTGTTGCTGTCTATGCCATGAACTTGTTACATCCCAATTTATCATTTTATGATCCTATCTTAGTTACAGAAATGTTAATTTAGTATTCCTCTTTTCTTTTAATTTTTAGTGAATGTGTAGATTAATTTAAGAGGCTTGGATGGAATTTAAGGCCCTGTATATGTGGGTACAGGGTGTATCTTCAACAGAACGGCCCTGTATGGATATGAACGTCCTCTCAAGCCTAAGCATAAAAAACCAGGACTTCTTTCTTCATGCTTTGGTGGATCACGAAAGTGGAGCTCTAAGACAAGTAGATGGGACTCTAGTAAGAAGAAATCAGGAAAGCATGTGAATTCTACTGTGCCAGTATATAATCTAGAAGATATAGAGGAAGGGTTAGAAGGTATAATTTTGGTCTTCGAAATTTGACTTCAACAGTCACACTACTTGTTTAGGATAAATTTATATATCATTTCTTGATATGTTGGTAGATAATGAGCTGTCTTATGTTTTCAGTGAATCAAGTCCCTTTTGAACCATAAAACTTAGATGTTTTAATCTTTTAATTGGTATAAAGTTGTTTTGCATATTGGAGTTGTTCAACATTTTATTTAATTTTTTCTCATTGAGGGTTATGTTATTCAATCCTGACTTCACACGTACTTAGTCCTGTTTGTGCTTAAGTAGAAATATGTTAACCATTTCTGATGGATTACGAGATTCTACCAAATGCATGAACTATATGGTTAATGTCTGAGTTTTTGAAGATTTTCCTGAGAAAGTGACTTGTTAATTCTTATTTTGTGCCTCTACAATAAATGCCCCATTTGTTTTTTATGTGGACTGTTTGTATGTGCTACTGAACTATTATCTCCAATGTCATAAATAATGCAACTATGGTGTGTCGGTTTTACTGAAACACATTTTTTAAAGGTGTGATACTGAACTCAATGCTTATGTCACAGATGACCTTAGAAAAAAGGTTTGGTCAATCAGCAGTTTTTGTTGCTTCAACACTTATGGAAAATGGTGGTGTTCCACAGTCTGCAACTCCAGAATCCCTCCTTAAGGAAGCTATTCATGTCATTAGCTGTGGATATGAGAACAAAACAGATTGGGGAAGTGAGGTTTGTAGGGCTTTTACCTTTTGTCACCTCTTTGTTAGTTTCCTTTATTGCTGTTTAATCCTTTGGTACATATACACTGAACATTTGAGCTAGTGGATGGGATGGGAAAATCAGAAATGGGCCTTTCAACTATGGGAACCAAGTTATCTGAAAATTTTTTGTTGAGCATAAGGATACAGTTTTTCAAGGCAAACATCCTTCATTTGCAGTCGTCTTATTTCCTTGAAAGTAACCAAGTAAATAAATCTTTTGGGGATAGGGGTGGGGCCTAACATTGCCTTTCTTGTTTGCTTTCCTTGTTTAAGGCTTTAAGCTGAATGATGGATGTAGCAGGTTTCTTGAATTGTTGCATTGTTTCATCAATATTCAATCTTATATGGCTTATTGAGTTAAAGTTATGTTTTGCAGATAGGATGGATCTATGGTTCAGTTATAGAGGATATCCTTAGTGGATTCAAGATGCATGCTCATGGTTGGAGATCAATCTATTGCATGCCACAACGCCCTGCTTTTGAAGGATCTGCTCCTATTAACCTTTCAGATCGTTTGAATCAAGCGCTTCAATGGGCCTTGGGTTCGGTTGAAATTCTATTCAGTCGTCATTGCCCCATGTGGTATGGGTATGGTGGAAGGTTGAAATGGCTCGAGAGATTTGCTTATATCAACACTACTATTTACCCAGTTTCAGCCATTCCCCTTCTTGCCTACTGCACATTGCCTGCGGTTTGTCTGCTCACTGGGAAGTTTATTATTCCACAGGTAAGTGCAATATCAATTTCAGCCTCATGGAAAGAATTTGGTTCCTCCTCAATGCTGACACTTACATATCACTTGACACTTACTAAACCCTAATTGAATAATAGATTCTCATATGATGTATCATTTTGCTATGACATATGATCTAGATGAACTTGTTAAAGATCATATCACAAGATCTCCAATTGTTGTCACCAAATTTATGAATAATTAAGAGTTTTTCTTGATTCTGCCAAAGAGAGGAAAATAAATGTATCAAATCTTTTCAAATACATCTAAAGTTATGATAGCACACCAGCTGAGATTAAATTTGCAACTTGTCATATATTGCAGATCAGTAACATTGCAAGTATATGGTTCATATCTCTCTTTCTTTCCATCTTTGCCACCGGTATATTGGAGATGAGGTGGAGTGGGGTAGGGATCGATGAATGGTGGAGAAATGAGCAGTTTTGGGTTAGTGGAGGTGTATCAGCCCATCTATTTGCTGTGTTCCAGGGTCTTCTCAAAGTGCTTGCTGGCATTGATACCAATTTTACTGTCACTTCAAAAGTATCTGATGAAGACGAGGATTTTGCTGAACTCTATACGTTCAAGTGGACTACCCTGCTGATTCCTCCGACCACGCTCCTGATAATTAATCTTGTTGGAGTGGTTGCTGGAGTCTCCTATGCTATGGACAGCAGTTATCAATCTTGGGGTCCTCTCTTTGGCAAACTGTTTTTTGCTTTTTGGGTGATCATTCATCTGTATCCATTCCTTAAGGGTCTGATGGGACGGCAGAATCAGATGCCAACAATTGTTGTTGTGTGGGCGATTCTACTTGCTTCTATCTTCTTACTTCTATGGGTCGGATTGATCCATTTACCACCTAGGTGACTGGCCCTGATGTCCAGCAGTGTGGAATCAACTGCTAGTTGAACATGTAGATCAGAGAAAGTACAAGCAAAAGATGGAAGGTAATTGTTTTGAGCTTTGTTATGCTTGAATTAGAATCTTTACTATTTTGCGGGGGAAAAGGAAAAATGAAAAACTGAGGGTTTTAAGTTGAACCCTTTAATTATTTGATTAAGTTCATTTTTTAAGCTTGGTTCAGCTAATTTATTTTTTAAAGTCAAAATTATACCATGATTTGTAATTGGTGTTAAGACTAGTCAATTTTCAATTACCATGTTGTATGAATAAGAAAATGGTTGTTACATTCTTTTGAACTGCTCTTTCCTTTTATTTTGGATGAAAGTCAAGAAAACTTTCCACAATGGACCTGTCAAACTTTCTCAATCTTTTCTTCCAAGGTTACCAAGCTCCTGTTATTGAAACATTGGACGAATCTAGTTTATTGTGATAAGACTTCAGCTAATTAGAAACATTAAACTGAATGTTAGAACCTATTATGTCAAAGTTTGTTGAACAATTTGATAGTTTTCCCAGATGACAGGTGGCTTAAAGGTCCTGACTCCTGATGCACTTAATGTAGTTTGCAAACTATATACATGGAATTAAACCATGAAATATTCCAATAAAAACAGTTGTCCTCTGTCAGCCCTATGAGAAAAAAAAAAAAAAAACACTTGGGCCATGTTTATGGCACCCTGGAGCCCCTCCTCTTTGTACTTAGATTTTTTTTTTTCAAGCTAGAAGCTCGAAGTAACATTTGATGAGAGTAACAAGCTCTATGTTTATGGCACATGTTTTGAAGATTGCATTCCTTATCAAATTAAATTGTGTGAAGTATATAAAAATGAAATGAAAACTGATTATCAGGTTTTTAATCAAAGTTCATATAAATATAAAATGGAAGAGGGAACAGAAGTCTCTTGAACGTTCAGAGCTGTGGCATAATCAACTGTCTACCTGGGATATAGCTAACCTCATTAATGATCTGTCTACCGGGGATATAGCTAAACGGAATTGAGTTTATTTTGTCACCTTTATTAACGAAGAAGCAGCTAACCTCCTGCTTTAGGCTCAATTGCTAAGTAGGTCAAGCCTGATCACCCTCAGGCACAGCCAAAAGGCTTGTGGTGGATGTTATTATTGCTGATGTGAAAAAATGGAGTAAGCTTGTGGGGTATGCTATGATTGCAAATATAGCGGTGAAAGTAAAGCATAAACCATGACATGTTGCTTAGTCGGATGAACATGTTTCAAATGATGCTTTTAGCACCATTTTGTATCTTTTTTCAAAAGAGAAGTAGCAACGGTAAGTTTTCATAGGACATTTAAGATATATATATCTTATAAAATGTAGAGAAAGTATTAGCTTTTGAAAAAGCAACATTTGAGCATAAATTCAAAAGCCTCTTATTAGTGTTTCATGCTTTTAAAGTTGGTAGAGACTCCTTTGTGCCTTGCTGTTGCACTGCCTTTGACTACTGTAGATGTGGTAGAAAGCATGCATGATTTCTGGGCTAAAAATTTTGCTAAAGTTCCCAACATATAGCACAATTGAAAATTGTTGTCCCCATGATAAAGAAGAAAAAAATTTCCCCCTTAACCCTCAATTTTTCATATATGCAGGGACGGATACCGTTTGAAGTAGGGTGTCTATGGACACCTTACCTTCAAAACTTTCACTCTTTTCATCGATAAAATTAATAAATCTGTCAACAATTTTATAAAAAATCCTAGATCCGGTGAAGCACATGTACCATTAAAAGAAGAAATATGTTCCATTAAAGGCACTGTTCTGTTATGCTGCCATGGTAAAGAATGAAGTAATAAGTAAAATATTGTAGACAGAAGCTGCTAATCCACAGTTATAATGTTTCCACTACAGCATCTCCACAACATACAATTTGGAGTTTTGAACTAATCAATAATTACTTACGTTTGCATCAAGGCATTCCATCTATGCATGAATCTTCATTTCTTTTCCTCTTCTGTTGCTGGTTTTGATTCTTGTGGGGGAGATGCAGCTACAGCAGGGACTCCACCATCAATGCAACTTCTACACTTCTTTTCTATCCATCCTTCTATGTCATTCTCCCCATTTCCACCAAAATGCCTTCCACCACAAAGTCGAGCAATGATACCTGCAATAACACCTACGATAGTGATCACAGCCAGCACTACAATCAGAGTTTCGATTGATCGATGGGAATAGCGACTGGGTTCCCTCACTGTAGGTGGGGCCTCAACTACTGGTACAAATTGATCCTGTAACCTTGCTTCCATAGCTCCCATGAACTAGATGCTCATAAACTCCTGTTTCTCTCTTGGTACTCTGTAACGGTAAAAGACTGAAGCAAAAAAATGCAGAAAGAGAGAAAGTGAGTCACAACAACTGTAAGATATGATTTGGCAGTGAGTAGAGTTAAAAACAAGGATAGATGGTTGAGTGTTGAGACTTGAGAGTAAAAAAGAGTGAACAAGTGAGCAGACTATGAAACTAAGAAAGCAAAGTAGCAGACTACCAATGTTTGGTATATGAAATGTACTATAGGAAACTGGGATGGGAAGAAACAATGGAACTTCAGGTGTGCATGATGCTTTGGGCTAAATGATGCTGAGAGAAGGAGGGGGAGAGCAATTTTCTTGGTTGGGGGTGAAAGAGAGAACACAAATTTTTATAGGTGGGAAAAGCTGAAATAGGATTCAAGAGTTGCAGTCTCAATTTTGGGTACTTTGAATCTTCTTTGCTGTGATTATTTCTAATCCAGCTTTTCATTTCTTTAAACTAAATAAAAAGTTAGAACCACTTCAAACCATGTCAGTGGTTTCTTGAATTCATCTGTGGTGCAACCCCAGTGAAAGATCTTTTTTATTTTCTCTTCCCAATTTGTCCTTATTGATATCACATGTTAATGTTAATTAATGTGACTCCCTATACGAAATGTACTCTAGCTTTTTGGAACTTTCCTAATTTGTCCCTAGTTATTTGCTATTTTCTTGTCCCTTATAGAAGTAGGAACTTAACTTCATGATATTGGTTGCCCATCTCAGTCTTTCTCCAGTCTCCCCCCATGGCCCTGAGTCCCTGACCAGTTGGCTAGTTTGTCAATTTGCAGAAGATATTGACAGGCGTGAGTCAGGTAAAAGAGTCACTAGACCGAGGGATCCCCTGAGTACACCATGTGTTAACGCAGGGTGTTGGGATAGAGATGTTAGGAAATAGTGGTTGGGATTTGCCTATACTTGCATGTTTCACATGCAAGAAAATATTAATAATGGGTCACCCAGGACGTGGAGAATAAATTTTTACAAACAACAACCTTTCTTTTTTACTATCACAATAAATAGACTTCTTGCCACTAGTTGTGGTTCAGTCAGTGTCTCAGTTCAGTTCAATAATGCAATCTGGTTTTGGAAACTGCACGAAACTCAGTTCAATAGTTTCAGTACATTGTTCTTCTTCCAGGTGTATGACAGGAAACAGGATTGAACATGTGATAGTCATTGAAGAATCTTATAGTATTATAAAAAGAGACAAAAGTTGTGAATGTTGTACAAGAAATTTACTCCTTTGAAAAACCCCTCCTTGAATGGATAAACCTTGGATTCCCTAACTATTCTTAGTAATATATATATTTTTATTCTTTTAGTTGAATGTCAAGCGATTCTTAAATTTTATGCTACACATTTTTTTTTAATCCATTCAAACAGATTTATTTAAATTGAGTTTAAATAAAAAAATATTACTCCCTTCGTTTCATTATGTTTATCTTTTTATTGTTCTTTTGTTAAACTAATTCAATTTTGATAATTACTTTTAACAAAATCATAAAGTTATAAATTCTTTAAAATAAAAATAATTTTTTTAATTTTATATGATATTAAAAAAAACATAATGATCAAAATGGAATTTTCATTTAATAACGATTTGGATATCAAAAAAAACATAATGATCAAAATGGAGCGCCATGATTTGGATCAAAAGAGCAAACAAGATAGTCCAAACCAAAATAGGCCCAAACCCGTACAAATTTTTAATGTTGGCCCACTCTTGAAACCTAGCAACCAGCTGAAACGGCTGTCTCACTTTAGACAGCCCAAAACAAAGACATTCCACAGTACACCGTACGTATCTGGCTGCCGAATTTGTCAGAAAAGCAAAACGACTTTGAAAAGAAGACAACAGGAAGTTTCAAGTTTCAACGACCTTTTAGTTGTTTCTGGCCTCGGCGTTTCAACTTTCGATTCCACGGTTTCTCCCTAAATACACGGAATTCGTGACCCAATCTAAGAAAATCATTTCTCTTCTTCTAAATTTGGATTTAGCTGTGCTTGTTCGGAGGGTTGTTGGATTAGAATGGGGACTCCAGAATTCCCAGATCTTGGAAAGCATTGCAGCGTTGAAGATTGTAAACAGATTGACTTTTTGCCTTTCACTTGCGATCGTTGCCACCTGGTACGATTTCTCCTTTCCTTTTCCTTTCCGGGATTTTTTTTTTCCAATTTGTGGGAGCTTGGTTTAGCTTATATTCTTGGAAAATAAAATTGGGACCTTTGAAAATTTCCAGGTTAGCTTCGATATCTTGGTTTTATTGGAGTCATTGCAGTTTTATACTTTAGATTTATATTGGCCAATGTCCCTGTTTGTTTCCTATTGACCCTGTATGAAAAAAAAAAAAAAACCATTCGTTCAGAACCCAATCTATTAGTCTTTAATGATAAGATGTTACTGATAATATGTTTCATGAATTCTGAGATATGCTGAGAACTACAGTGCTCAAACATTGCAACTCTGCTTGTTATATTTCTCCGGTTATGTACCCAGAACATGTTAGGTTTTAGAATCAGAACTTTCAAAAAATTCATATCAAGCTTAAGCTTGAATCTTGCTTTAAATGTTTTGCTATGTAATGGACTATTGTTGTCCAGCCAATTATTTTGTTGAATTCTTTTGGTGAGATTTCTCCTTTTATTTATTTATTTTTTTTTTATATTAGTGGAATATAACGAATCTTTCAACAGGTCTATTGCCTGGAGCATCGAAGCTATATTAAACATCACTGTCCAAATGCTGATAAAAAGGATGTTACTGTTGTCATTTGTCCGCTATGTGCTAAAGGAGTTCGCTTGATTCCTGACGAAGATCCAAACATCAATTGGGAGACGCATGTTAATACTGAATGTGATCCATCAAACTATGACAAAGTTACTAAGAAGAAAAAATGCCCAGTTCCTGGCTGCAGGGAAGTCTTGACATTCTCAAACACAATCAAGTGTAGGGACTGTACTATAGACCATTGCTTAAAGCACCGTTTCGGGCCCGACCACAAATGTCCTGGACCTAAGAAACCCGAGTCAAGTTTTCCATTTATGGGTCTTTTAAGCAGGAGTAGAAAAGAAGAATCAAAACCCAGCAGAGTTCCTGCCACATCTTCGTCTAGGTGGGCTACAAGCTTTCTTAATGCAGCTTCAACTGTTCGAGCCTCAGCAGAAGCAAGCATGACAAAATTGAGTAGTGAACTTAGTAAAAAATGGCAAATTGCAAGGGATGGAGTGGGGCTGAGTAGCAGTAGCAGCAGCAGCAGCAGTGGAAGCGCCGGACAAGTGGAGGAGTGCCCACAATGTAGAGTAAAATTTTCGTCAGTTACAGCTTTGGTGGAGCATGTGGAGAAGGTACATGGAAGGAACAACCATTCTCGAGTCTTTAAGATGTCTATTGATGTCTGCCCCAAGTGTAGTAAAGGGTTTCGTGATCCAGTTGCCCTTGTAGAGCACGTAGAGAGGGATCATGGTGGCACTTCGAAAGCTTAAAAAGGTTTGGCTGCAAATTGTGAAGAGCATACTGCTGGAGAATTGATTGTGTCATCTTGTATTACTTCCATTTTTTAACCTTAAAATTAAATTGCAACCCTCTTTTCAGAACTCAACTTCAGTTCAAATGATTTTTCAACATTCAATTTATTAGTTTCATGTAACAATTTAAAAATTAAGGTTAAATATAAGTGCTTATGGGAATACAGCAAGCTGCTTGTTTACAGCCAAAGTTTGTTTTTTTTGGTATCGATTTGGTTTACTTTGAGTTTTGAGGCTTTCATAATTGAAGCTTACAACCAGGAGGTTCCATTTTCTTCCCTCATTCCACAAATCTGTATTTTTTGAGATGATTAAAATCTCTCGAGACATGACAATGGACAAATTTTGTATAACAGGGCTGCTTACCTTGTGGAGACCTTTCATGAAAAAGCAAGTTTCTGTTAACAAAATCACTTTTCAGGGATTTTTATCATTTAGCAAGATTATCTGAAAATATGATTAAACCTTTTATGGTAATAGAAGATTGGATACTATCTAAAATTTAACTTAATTGATTCATATAATTATCTTTAAAAAATGACATCCTCAAAGTATAAAATTTAAATTCCAACATTTACAATATTTTTTTCTATCCCAAATTACAGTTTCCATAAAAAATAAATTTGAAAGCTTTTGAGTTGTTTTACACATTAGAGAAAAATAATGATTACCTGTTCAGAGTGTATCACCCGCAATGGATTACCCTCCTTTTCTTTGGAATTGGAATGGCATTTGTATCATTTAATTATATCATGATTCATGAATGTTATCTCCATTACACCTTGAGTTTGCTTTAAGCAATTGAGAACGAGACCCTATGTTATTTGATTTCTTTCAGGTTAGTTAAGTAACTTAAGTGAACCCAATAATGAGATGACAATTTAAGGAATAATTGGATTGAAACGAGAGATGCTTTCTTCGAAAGGAAAAAAAAAGTGATGGTTACTTTAATTATTGTCTTTTTGAAAAGGGAAAAAGGTTATGTAACAAAATAAATACGATTCATCATTTCGATGAAAAATGTGTGAAATTTAAAACCAAAATTGAAACATGATAATGAAACTTTATTTTATAAGGAAAATGATTTTTTTTTTTAATGTTTTGGCTTAAAACTTTGAATTTGATTTTTCATCCCTTCAAAAACGATAGATTTGTTTTTTGATTATTTTAATTAATCATATAATTTATTAATAAAATATTAAATTTTTAATTATAATGACACAATTCGATTTTCGACGTCTACAAGGATTAAAAAATAAAAAAATGTTTATCTTTTAAAAAAATTACTTGCCAAGTTTATTTTTCTTTGATATTTATAAAGCCAATACCTCTTTTTTGGATTTTTTCAAATTGATCCATTATTGTTAGGATTAAAGAAACAAAAAATGTGATACTCCAATTTTTGACTCAATCGTTAACACATATATATCTTTAAAAGTTTGCTTTTGTTAAAAAATGTCAATAGTAACCTCATAGTTTTGTAATAACATTTTTTTTGGAAAATTAAGAAATTTGGGATTTTAAAATTCAAAATAGTAATAAATTTTTTAATAAAAGTATAAATACGAATAAAAATTAAAATCATAATTAAATAATCAAAATCTTTAATTTCATTTATAATAAAAACAAAAAAATAAAAAATAAATCAGATACCTTATAAATAAAAAAATTATTATAAAAATTGAACTAAACTCAAATAAATATAGATAAAAAGACCAAAAAAAAAAAGTAACTGAAAATATTTAAAACAAGTGACAGAATAAATATGAACAAAACCAAAGAAAGGCCGGTAATTAACGGTCATCATGTACCAAGAACAAGACAGCACAGCACGTTCTTATTGGGAAAGCAACGTTTGAAGCAATAATAATAAACGCAATATTTGTTTTATTATTAAAAGAAAAAGTAAAAGCAAATCCAACGGTTGAAAAATTCACTCAAATAAATATAAATTTTAATTTGTTGATACATTGGGGTCCAAAAAATAATACCGTTGAATGTGTTCAAAGATATTTTATTGGCTGGCGGCAACCTGAACTGATCATATAGCATTAGGCAAAAAAAAAGAAAAAAAGAAAAAGAAAATCACAGCACAAAAATTTAATTTTAGCATATAATTTTAGATAGTTGAATTTTGCGGTTTGAGGAATGCTGGAAACGCGGTAATTGTTTTGCATGGATTAGACGGATTTCCACCCTCTGCTCTGCTTTGCTCTTTCTGGCATTGATTCGAGGTAACTTTGGAAATTTTTTTTGATCAAAAACGCATTTTTTTATGATTGATTTCCCATTAGTTTGATCAAAATCTGCATTTTCTGGATACCCTTTTGTTAATTTTATTTAGTCAATCCAATTTTGTTTGGTTCTTATCGAATTTTGATTCAACATTCCATTTTGTTGATACCCTTTTTTGGTTTGTTGAAGTTTTAATCCAGGTTTTAATAGCAGTCAGTCATAGTTTGATCAAAGTTTATGAACCAAAATGCTGATTGTTACTATTTACCTTATAATTCATAGTATTTGATTTGGTTTGATTTGGAGGTTAAAAGTTGTGACACCAGGATTGTTGTTCACAGGTTGGTGATTGGATTTGGGAGGTATCCCATTTGTTGTCAAGCTTTTCTTTCCCTTCTGGGCATTCAAGTCCAAGTTTTTTTTTATTGATTTAGAAGGGAAAGAGAGCAGAAGGATATTGAAAACTTTTTAGCTATTATTAATAATTTCAAATCTGAAAAATATATAAAAATGAGCTTCATCTCCGGACTGATTTCCAGGCAAGTCTTGCCTGCATGTGGTAGCCTATGTTTCTTTTGCCCTGCAATGCGTGCAAGGTCCAGACAGCCTGTCAAGAGGTATAAGAAGCTGATTACTGAAATATTTCCTCGTAATCAGGTTTGTGCTTTTCAAGTTTTCTGTAAATTTACACATTTTTTTTTCGTAGTAATATATGGCTCATCATATTTTTCTTAACTTTTGAAGATCAACTTAAGGCACAGTTAACTTCGCTCATGCTTGTTTATGTGTAGGGCCTGTTAGTATTGTACCAATTTTGATACATTCGTTTATGTTTTACTTTATAATGCAGCCATGCAGGTGGTCAGTGACAGATCAATTAGAACTAATTTAGTTCAATCATTAGATAAGGTTTATCTAAGCAAATATTAGTCATGTGACAGTAATTTACTTGTTTTAGTCATTCTCTAACTATATCGTGGATGGGATTTGCAGCTTTAGCTTGTATTGGTCTTTTGTTGTAAAAATTTTTCCTTCTACTTTGTTAATCATATAAATCGAACTTTTTTCCGTCTAATAGGAGGAAGGACCGAATGATCGCAAGATAGGAAAACTGTGTGAATATGCTTCAAAAAATCCTTTACGCATACCAAAGGTACAATATATTTGCAAGCCTTAGGATAATGCCTTTGATTTGATTAATGAATTTTTTGAAATCTTACTGTTGATATCTTGGTTTTGACAAATGACTACACTTTGCACTGTTTTTTTTTTCATGAAATTTTAAAAGTACTCATTCAGAACATAAAGTTCAAATAAATCATGATGAGTTTCATCAGAACTCAGTGCCAAAAATAAGAAGTTTTTGATAAATAACTTTCAGGTTTTTATTTGGTTTTTATGGCTTAAGAACCTGTACTACAAGAGAGTGCTTTTACTCTTGCAGCAGGTGGTCGTCAAGCCTCAGTTAAAAGAGATGCTGCAAATGTCAAATCAAGTATGTTTATAAAATCAGATAGATTCAAGGTTAAAGTTTGTAAAATCAGATAGATTAAAGGTTAAAAGTACAGACGTGTCAAGCTTTGTACTTCGGAAAGAAGGTTAACTCTTTGTATTGAAAACGTGGAACCTATGTTCAGATGACTTTTGGAAACAATTTGAAAGCCTGGCATGATCAGATCTCAAAGTAAACAATTATTTTAGAAGGAGAGTTAAAATAGGCTGCATGGAATGTTCTAGTGATCAGATAGCAAAATTGGCAGTGTCTAAAACTGAGCCAAAATATTAACTGAAAAAGAGTGATAGCTTGTAATTAAGCATATTTTTGTTCTATTGGTTATAGTTAATATTTAACATTACTATAGTGCTTGGTCACCTGCATCAGCATGGGATTTATAAATGCCTATCTATTATGTAGTCTGATCCAGATTAGTTGTATATAAACATTTCATGCTTAGTTTCCTTGCTGAATAAACGATTATATTCATTAAATCGTCAAAACTATCCTCTTTGCCATTGGATCCAAGTTTTCTTCCTGTCGGTGTGTGATAAAATACCTATTAAATTTTTTTGAAAATTAAATATTCTACTGGTGTAAGAAAGGCATTATTTAGCAGTTTTTGCTGTTACATTTGTTCTGGGCATGCTCATCTCTACCGATTAGAATGAAGAATTTTCTTTCCACAACATGCACATTTATAGCTAGTTAATTATGTTAATCTTTCTTATAACTGGTTCTTGCAAATTTTATGACCAGATCACAAATTCCCTTGAGCAAAGGTGTTACAAGGAGTTGAGAAATGAGAATTTTCAATCTGTGAAAATCGTTATGTGCATTTACAGGAAACTGTTGGTCTCTTGTAGAGAGCAAATGTGAGTTTTTTTGTTGCAAAATTCATGGGTTTGTGTCTCACTGTTTTGGGTCATGTCAAGACTGTTGCATCATGAGATCTTTGGCTTTTTTTTTTTTTGGTCATTTCCTCCCCTTTCTAAGTGATTTTGGTATTCTATCTTTCTTTAACCACCATTAAAAGGAAAACAAGGAAACTTTATGCTCCAAAATGGTATCTAATAAATATTTTTTCCAGTGCTTTTCTTAGATGAGAGAGCAAGTCTATTTCCGTAAGAGAAATACTCCTGATTCAAAAATGAAAAGGACTCCTGTCATTTAATTAAGTTATAAACAAAACTAGGTTGGAGGATTAAACTCATAACCAAATGCTTAGAGAACCAAAGTTATGAACAATTACCATACTTCTTTCCTCTGTAACAAAATACCCTTAGTAGAACTTAATGACGGAATCCAAATTTGGGGATGGGGGAATAGATCATTATGATTTATGATTAACAAGTTTTATGAGCTAAGTGGATATTTTAGCTAATTGCAAGTTACAAGGCAATGCAAGACATTTTTCTATCTTATAGTCTATAGAGATGATACTCTTGTTGACTGAAACTTGTTATGCATCTAGAATTTGCTAATTTAGGTGTTGTTGTATTATTTATACTTGTAAATGCAAGTGATCATGTCCCTTGATCAATGTTTGGATTATCTCCTAGTGCTATGTTCGGAAAAATGAATTTGAAATAGTGGATTTAGATGTAATATACTATATAAAATGTCAGAATGAAATGCACACACTATGCACAAATTAGTTAAGATTCATTATGCCTATTTATTTGAAAGGTATAAAAAGATGAATTTCAAATTCAAAAATACCTATAGGTTTTTCAATTAATAAATAAGCATCTGACAAATACATGAATTTGAAAATACTCATGGTCATATTTACATGTGCTTTACACGCCATTTATACTAAATTTGAAACCCAAATCCTTTCTTTTAAATTAAGTTACCAAACGCAACCTAAATGTTAAGAATAAATATCAATCATGTTCAACCTTTTATCATAAGATAGAAAGCATCCAGATTGTAATTTCAAGTTAATTTACTGAAATAATTTTAATTTGCTTTCAACTTTTAGTATTTTCTTGAACTTATTTGATTTCTGGTTATCAATAATTTTATAGGACACTATTTGCTAGTAGCTTACTGAGCATTATACAGACTCTGCTGGATCAAACACGACAGGATGAAGTTCAAATTATAGGATGTCAGACTCTTTTTGACTTTTTAAATAATCAGGTTGGTGCTTTGGCATTACTTTTGTACTTCTCATGTTGTGAAAAATGGATATCCAGCTCGCAATGTAATTTATTTTTAAAAGCTAGTGTGTTTATGGCAACAGTATTTTAACTTATTTTGTCTTACCGCATTTTGCAGAAGGATGGTACTTGCATGTTTAACTTAGAAGGCTTTATTCCTAAACTCTGTCAGCTAGCCCAAGAAACTGAAGAAGGTGAAAGGGAAAGAAATCTATGTTCAGCTGGACTGCAAGCACTTTCTTCGATGGTATTCATTCACATGGCTTCTTTTCTTTTGAAATGCATGATTATGTCAATTTTTAGTTGGTTTCTGGGAAATAGATGATAAAAATGAAACTTAAATCATATAACTGGTACTAACAATTATATAGGCTCTGGGAAACTAAACCAGAAGAAACTAATATGCAGTATGTACAATGAAGGCAGAAGAAACTACACCAGAAAGTTTTGCAGTAAATTACTATCAATGAGTTTTGCCGTAGTAATGCTGAAGTATGATATTTTTTCTTTTATTTTTTTTCTTTTGGAAATTTATGATGTAGGAATCTGGGATGTTCCAGTGAGGCTAACTTCTTAGAATGATGGAAGTAGACTTCCTTTACTGGTAATCAAGATTTAGTGTTAGTCTATCTTTCCAATTACATATTGGAACTTCTAAATAGTAGCTTGTGAATCTAGGCTGTTTCAGTGAGCCTAACTTCTTAGAGTGATGGAAGTAGACTTCCTTTAAGATTTAGTTTATAACACTCTTTCGTATTAATTATTGCAACTTCTAATAGTAGTCAATTGAATTAGACACCATAATTTATATTGTTTATTTATTTGTTTTGCTTTTCTTTTGAGGGTGGGGTTCTTTTATTTTTTTTAATCCTATCTTTTTTTGCCTCAGTGCATTAGTTAGTCTTTACCTTAAAATGGTTTCGAAGTTTGAGTTTTTTTTTTTTTTTTTAAGTTGGAGTGCTTAGAATAGTAGGAAAAGAGGAAAATGGAATATAAACCCCAATATTCTTGGACACCTGGCTGTTAATCCAGCCTTGCCTTAGCTGGAATGTAGATGGTTATGGTATGTTGCACAGGACCCGACACATAGTATGGTAGTAGTAGTAGTAGTAGGGCTTTCACCTTAGTCATTGCATATTGGTCAAGCTCACTTATGGTATATCAAATGGGCTGTGTGCTCAAGCTTACTTATGATTGTTTGAATTGTATATATAAGTATTCTAATGCATGTTGAATTATCTATTTCTTGTGTAGATTTGGTTTATGGGTGAACACTCTCACATTTCGGTGGAATTTGATAATGTAAGCAGATTCAGGCTTATTCACATATCTTTGCAATTTTGTTGCTTAGTTATTCATTTATTTATTTTATTCATTGCCTATATTTGCATGTTTTATGTTTTAGTGATAGATTTCATTTATAAATCCTCAATTAAAGTGATTCAAGCCTTTCTGATCTGGGCAAAGCAGCTAGATAAAAGTATGATTTATGATTTATTTTTTTATATACAAAGTCTTATGTGTTAAGTCAAAATTATCTTCTGGCTATTTCCATGTTTGTTCCATTGCAAAATATTTTCATTGGTGATGCATATAATTTACCAATATTTTGGCAATTTCTTTTTCTTTTTAAAAACAATTTTAAATCTCTAAATTTATATATATTTATGAAGTTTTTTTTTATGCGTAACACTGGAATAAAGATCATGACAACATGATGATTCCTGTTAATCCAATATTGACTGAATTCCCGTCCAGTTGTACTGGCATTTAATGTACAAGCATATTACTGATGGATGTCATTTGCTCCAATACAGTTCTGCTACGTTAGAGCCCTTAAATTTATTTGTGGCTATGAGTGCAAGTGTCTTGCACTACTTTGCTTTACTTCATTCTCTCCACTGATCGATTGCTTGCAGCACTTGGATCCGTCTATTCCAGTAACCTCTGCTGTCTGGTCTCCATGTTGCAGTGAAATAAACTCACATGTATCCTGTCCAAAAGATTACTCTAGTTGTGGACAAGATTGCCAAAACTTGCTTTCATTTGTCTTTTATCCCCTCAAAATTTTACTTGGTGATGACACATATTCACCAGAATGATTTGGTCATTCTTAGTGCAGTTGATTTCTTTCATGCTTTAACCCTTCTCATTTTTCCCTTTAGTGGTTATCAACATTTTGTATTCAGCTGTACTGGTTAAGCAGCTTTAATAATTGCAGCTCTCTGAAATTTGCGCATGTTGTTTCATATCATTTTGCATTAAAGGCATTTTTATTTATCAAAAACAGATTGTTTCTGTAGTCTTGGAAAATTATGGAGGCCCAAGGAAAAATTTAGAGAACCTTAATGTTTCCCAAAGTCGGTGGGTGCAAGAAGTGCTAAAAAATGAGGGTCATGTTTCTCCATTGCCAGATGTCCTCATAACAATTCCTTCTTGGGAGACAATTGTGAACGACAAAGGAGAACTAAATGTCACAGCGTAATCCCATGACTCAAGATTTGGATGCAAGTTTGCGTTTGCGTTTTACTTATTTATTTAAATAATTACCTTGCAATGGGTTTCTTTCTTTTTCTTCTCACAGGGAAGATGCCCAGAATCCCTGCTTCTGGTCCAGGGTTTGCTTACATAACATGGCAAAACTAGCAAAGGAAGCTACAACAACACGGCGTGTTCTCGAGTCTTTGTTCCGTTACTTCGATAATGAAAACTTATGGTCTCTTCAAAATGGTCTTGCCTTTCCAGTCTTAAAGGATATGCAGCTTTTAATGGACAGTTCCGGTAGTCAAGCATTTTTCAACAGTCAATATGTTTGACCTTTCTTCTGTTTTCTGATTTTATTTTATTCTATTTTATTTTCTCTCAAATTATCTGTTTTCTGATTAATATGCTATTCCTCTGCTTTTCCTAAAAATTTTGACTTGTAAAACGTGAGGAACTGATAACTATTTGTTTTCTCATGTTTGCAGGACAGAATAAACATATTTTGCTGTCTGTATTAGTTAAGCATCTTGACCACAAAAATGTCCTCAAACAACCTGACATGCAACTTGAAATTGTTGAGGTTACAACCTCTCTTGCTCAACATTCAAAAGTTGAGCCTTCTGTAGCAATACTAGGTGCAGTTAGTGATGTTATGAGGCATTTACGAAAGTGCATACATTACGCACTCGATGATGCAACTATAGGGTCTGACATTGTAAATTGGAACATGAACTTTAAAGAAGCAGTGGATAATTGCCTTGTACAGTTAGCACGTAAGGTAGGACCATTCTCTTGTCATTCTTGAGTAAATGTTATTGAAACTTGCATTAAAAAAACATGTTCTAACACTTCACTTTGAGTTTCTTTCCAGATCAAGTGACCCAATAACTTTGCATTTTACTCCTGTGTTTTATTCTTGTTGGATATTTCAAAATTGAGCAAGCTATTGTGAACAGGTTGGAGATGCAGGTCCGATTCTTGATGCTATGGCTGTGATGTTGGAGAACATCTCAAATGTTACAGTTATAGCCAGAACTACGATCTGTGTTGTCTATCGCACTGCTCAAATTATAGCCTCAATTCCGAATCCATCCTATCTAAACAAGGTAATGATCATAATGGTTAATTCCTTTTTGTTCATTAACATTTCATAGTGTTGGCGGCAGTATTTTTAATTTATCTTTGTTAATTCGTGTTTCTTTGTTCCCATAGGCATTTCCCGAGGCTTTGTTCCATCAATTGCTCCCAGTTATGGTCCACCCTGACCATGAAACACGAATTGGAGCCCACCGTATCTTTTCTGTTGTTCTTGTGCCAACTTCAGTCTGCCCTCAACCATCCTCTGTTACTCCAGTAACAAACAAAGCCTCTGGTATTCCAAGAACACTTTCAAGAACTGTCTCTGTCTTTTCTTCTTCAGCTGCCCTTTTTGAGAAGCTAAGGAAGCAGAAACCTTTCTCAAAGGAGAATGCTTGTCTAGAGAACAAAGAAAATGTTGCTAGTGAGGGGGAACTGAAGAACAGTAATAATGGGATTCTGAATAGATTGAAGTCATCTTATAGTAGAGCATACAGTTCAAGAAGTCTGCCTGTACCTTCGGCAACAGATGAAAATTCTCTGAGCGATTCAAATACAGTATCTGTGAGTGTTTGCAATCTCCTCTCTAAAATTTCTCATCTACTCTATCATGGCTAATGCTCTCCCTATAGGACCATTCTGTTCAATTCAATCTAGGTTTGGTCCTTGCACAAAATGTGGCTTGGAAGCCGAGGCTTGAATTTTGCGGTTACTTTTACTTCTGAAGTTTTATTATATATGGGCATAAACGTTGATTAGGAGAGGCACTAGCTTTCTAGCATATGATATAAGGAGGCAGAAGACCTTCCTCGGGCAGCACTGACTTGCTCTTATCTATTTTCTTAAAGACCCTTCTTGGTTCAAATGATTAACCCTATGAATTGTTTGAAATTGGTTCCATTTCTGATCTAATTTTTAGTGACTAATTTCTATTTGTCAAACCTCAGGAGGCCAATTCCCTACGGCTTAGTAGCACCCAGATTGGTCTCTTGCTTTCATCAATTTGGGCACAGTCTATCTTTCCTCAAAATACTCCACAAAACTATGAAGCAATTGCTCATACATACAGTCTTGTGTTGCTCTTTTCTCGAGCCAAGGTAATTGCTCGATTGATGCTACCTTAAAGGCATTTGTTTATATGATTTACTGATTTTCAGGACAGGTTTTTCAACTTGGATCTTGGTTCTCTTGTTATGGATATCTGTGCTAATAGCAAATGTATATTATATATTCAGTATTCTATTTGATGTGCCTGTCATCAAAGGTAAGTTCTTCTCAACAAGGACCCGCTTTGCATCTCAAACTTAGATATCTCAAAAGTTTCCAAAAGGATTCTGTTTAATCAAGTTTATAATGCTGAGTTAGCTTCAAAACTAGGGGTAGTAGTTCTGCTTATCAAGTAATAGTGCTGATGTTATGTTTTATGGAATTAATTGCAATAAACTCTGCTGATATATTAGGGAGATTTGCCCTACAGCTTACCTTGAGAGGAGTATTTATCCCCTCAATGTTGACCGGCTATGGCCTGGGGGTTATTTAGAGTCGCTAGACCATTTTGGTTGTTTTTGAGGACCATCAGGAAACCTGTGAGGGTTTTACGTACTTAAAAGAAAAAGGGAAAATTGTGAGAGTAGTTTTCATCTTGTTTAGATATGTAAATGCTACAGATTTATGTTAAGCAATTAACTTGTTATTTTAGGGTGTAGGAACAAAAATTATGGCGAGTAAACTTTGTTTTATCGATGGCAATCTTTATTTTGTGGACCTTAAAGCCTGCCTTCTACTAATACTGATAACTATCTGACCTAAAATCAATTTGCCAAAATGCAGAGAGGCACAACTACAGCAAACTCAAGACTTAATTTATGAGACATAGCACCACATAACACTCACTCTCCCGTGTAATCCCAATACTAACAACTGAACAAACAGGTCCACCATGTGGATAATCGCATAAGGGGCAACAATAAACAATAATAACAAACTTGGGATTCAGTTACTCTGAATACTAACAATAATTCTACCTAGAGTATTAGGTTCCCATTTTTGTATGATATAGACATTTGTATAGGCCAACCTAAGACCTTCAAAATTGCAAGTGATTTGTGTAGCCTATGATAGAACTTATTAAGTCTTTAAGTCATATCTTATTTGAAATGTATTGGTATAGTTGATTGTCTAAGTGGCTTATTGGCAAGAAAACTTCTTTGGTTCATTGTATCAATAGCATCTAACTGCTATTCCTTCTCTTTCTGGGGGGTTTAATTTCTGTATTTATTTTTATGTAATGCAGAATTCTAGTAATGAGGCTCTTGTTCGTAGTTTCCAGCTAGCTTTTTCATTGCGAAGTATCTCTCTTAATGAAGGAGGTGAGTTTCCAAAGTTCAAGCTGTCTTTGCAATCACTTGGCTTTTACTGGTGTCTGCTTCCTGCTGCCTTACTCTTTAATGACCCCCTCTGCAAACAAAAAATAAAATGACTAAAGAAAATTAAAACTAGTGCATTGGAATATGTCTTGCATGAAAATGAAAATCTTTGTTTATTTAATCTTTATTTTTAGTAAACCTGAGTCACATATGTTTGGCATATACATGGATGACACCAAGGTTTCTCTCCTGCAGAAGAAAAAAAGAAACAATAATATTGATGGATTGGAAATGTAAGAAGCTCTCTTAAGGACATAAATCCTGAACCCAGTAGAAAATATAGCAGATTTGTTCTTTCAAATCATACTTTTAAGTGAAGTATCTTAACTCAACTGCCAGCTTGCCACATATACAACCACTAGTCAATCTTTAGCGTGTTATGGTTGGCATGAAAGATGCTAAATTTTTGTTCAAATTGATAAATAGTCCAAACTTTGATTTTATGTTTTGCCCAATTGCACATCAAGAAGTTCAAATGTAAAAACATGAAATAGATTTGCTGATAATCTGTTGTACAAAAATTATCTTTGAAATACATCTTGAGAACCTCTTATAAATTTTTTTTCATGAATGCTGTACATAATATGGTGAGAGTGGTTTAGGAAGATGTCTTGGTTCAATTGGATTAGATTTACAGCACAAGTCCTTTGAAGAAGTTACACCTAAGTAACTTCCTTTTTTTTTTTTTTTCCTTTTTGCCCTTTCCTTTGTTAGTTACAAAGGAGGGAAACAACAAGGAATGGAAGCAACTAATTTGATAATCTGTTATTGGAGTGTCATCTCTTTAATGTGTAGCTTCACTAATGCTGCAGGGCCACTTCCACCATCACGTCGAAGATCACTTTTCACCTTGGCAACTTCGATGATCCTCTTCTCATCAAAAGCATTCAATATTCTCCCTATTGTCTATTGTGCCAAGGTTGCTCTTTCAGAAAGAACGGTACAGAACTAATGAGAGATGAAACCATCTTTACTACTTGCTTTTCCATGCTAATTATTTCTGGAATATGTCTTGAAGTTTCTATATTTCCTATGAAAAATATTCTTTTTTTTTTTTTGAGTTCATCTGGTATTATGGGGCAAAGTAATTAATATCATGCAAATGTAAAGTAGTGTCCATATTTTGTTTTCTTCTCCCTGTTTTCATTTTTTTTAACAAAAAGAAAATTATGGTGCTTGCAAAGGCAAATAACTGTTAGTTCTGTTTTTTTTTTTTTTTTTCATCTGTTAAATAAACAATCCAAAACCAGATATCTTGTTTTCATGTTATTGTTCTATGATTAATAGGTTGATCCATTTCTGCGCTTGGTGGAAGATCGCAAGTTACAAGCAGTTAACACTCAGTCTGACCAGCCAACAAATGTTTATGGGTCTAAAGAGGATGACAATTTGGCTGTAAAGACACTCTCAGAAATTCAGATTGCCCCAGAGCAACATAGGGAAAACCTTGCTTCGGAGATCGTGAAAAGCTTGGGAAATTTGTCAGGAGTAAAGCTTTCTATTCCAAATTCAATCCATTTCCTTCTTGTTGCTGGATATCTCGCTTTTGAGAATCTTGGACTCCAATTCATCATCAAAGAACTAGTATTTGCTGTTGTAATTAGCCTACACTAATATCTGTCGACTATATGTGCAGCCTGAATTGTCCACGATACGGGGACAGCTGTTAAATGAATTCTTACCGGATGATGTGTGTCCACTAGGTGCCCAGTTGCCTCTTGATGCACCACATAAAGTATACCAAGCAGGCGCAGAAGAGAATAAATCTATTAAGGAGGTAAATCTCCTAGTACTACCTTCCAAATTTTATCTGTGATGCTTGGAACTCATGTGATTTCTTTTGTTCTGCAGGGAGATCCAATTTTCTCAATAGGTGACGATGCTTTTCCAGAACCATTTGAAGTTCAAACCAAGGATAATTCAGAGTTGTCCTTAGGAATTCCAAATCTCTTGGATGTCAATCAACTCCTAGAATCAGTATGTCAGCTATGTCATTCTTTTTTACTTTGTCGGAAGCACAAGGGGCACGTTTTACATCCATTCTTAAAGAGCTTTTTTTTTTTGTTTGAGAATCATCTCATATTTCATAACATTGGTAACATGAGACAGGTAATAGGTATCATTTATTTTGTGAGATAGAACACATAATTATTTACTCTATCTGCACAGGTATTGGAGACGGCAAATCAGTTTGGAAGAATTTCTGTCTGCACTGGACCTGAGATGTCTTACAAGGATATAGCCCGTCATTGCGAGGCACTCCTAACAGGAAAGCAGCAGAAGATGTCTCATTTGATGAGTATCCAACTGAGACAAGAAAGCTTGATTCGCTTATCTTTTCAACATCCTGATAATGAGACAAAACAGGTAACCTCCAATTCCCATGTCAATAGGGATTCACAAGCCCTTGATTTAAGGGAATTTATGCATTCTATATTTATTGTACATGTTTAAATGCACCATGAACTTGCCTCTCTGCTTCCAAATTCTGTTTTATTCTATGCAAGAACCATTTGAGTTTTGAGGCATCTAACATTCACAACCTAACTTAAAAATGCAGACTGGTCCTTTCCTTGAGCAAACTGGTAGTACTAATCCCTTCACACAACCAGTTGGCACTCTTCCACTGCTGTGTGCAACTGAGTACCAGAATCATCCTCGGTCCTTAAGTTTACCAGCTTCAAGTCCATATGATAACTTTCTAAAAGCAGCTGGTTGTTGATCCTGTAAAATTATGGAGTTAAAATTTTCAAAAAACATCCGACAATTGTTCGTGTAGAAGGACAAAAATATCCATCTCACTTTTAATCCAAGGCCGAAAAGGTACAGTGCTGTTGAACTGTTGATTTTAAAGCTACTCAAAGTTTTTTCAGCTGCAACAAATTTCTATCATGTGCTTCTTGGTATGCGGAGTAAGGCCAGCATTGTGATTTAGATTGGTTGAGTTTGTAAGTTTGTTTAGCATTTAATTCATTCATTCATTTCCCTTTTCCTTCCATTCTATTATGAAGTTTCCAGAAGATGCCAAAAGTTTCCCACTCTTCGTATTGTAAGTAATTTACTTATTTCTTCTTCTTTCCATCATAGTGATGGACATGGATGTAAAATATAAGGCTTGATCTCATTAATTTTGGGATATGTCAACCCATGTAATGAAATGTTACTTTTTGTTCTTCATATATTAAGGCAGAATTTTTCTCATTGTTTTGCTTACTTATGGAACTTTCATTTTTGCCTACCTTACCAATATAATTATCACTTTTTTTAATCGAGGGTATCAAGTTTTGAATTTTCATCATTGTAATTAAAAATTTCATATTTTATCAATAGATTACAAGACTGTTAATGATATAATTATTATTTTGTAAGAGTCAAACATCAATTTATGAATGGATCATATATTTTGTTCAAGTGAATTGTTAGTAAGTGGGAAGCACTAATTAGTTTAATTTTAATGGGTTAATTTTAATGTTTGATGACAAAAAAAAAAAAGGAAAAAAAAAACCTTAGTAGGAGACTTGCATGGCCTTCATGTTTCTATGGGTCGTTATATCAATCTTCACAAAATGGTGATTTCATGCAGTCCATACAATAAAAACTACGATGCTTTGTTCACTTAACCTTGATGGTGGCCTTTTTTTATTTGATGGTAATTGTAATTTTTACTTATATTTATAATTTATAAAAAATAATAAATATTTTAAAATAAATTTGATAATTTTTATATTTTTATGTGTTGTTTTAAATGAAATATATATAAAATATGATATTATCGTATTACAGTTTGTGATATGAAATATGATATTAATTTTTATTTATTATTTATATATATATAAAAATTAAAATGTATAAAATATAGAGTAATAATCATATTATTATTATTTTTTTATTGTTATTTATTTTTTTCATCTTTATTGGTGTATAAAATTTGTAAAAAAAATCCTATATTTTTTAAAGAGTAGTATAAAAGATTTATGTACGAATGAAATTTGGTAAATTACTTCATAAAGAAAATAAGAATAAAAATAAATAAAATAATTAATTCAAAATTAAAATTTATTATTTATAATTTAAAAATAGTATTTTGAAATAATTATTTTAATTTTAATATTAATATTATTTTTTGTAATAATTTATTATTTATAATATTATTTAATTTAAAATTTTTTATAAACATTTTTTTTAAATACCGGACTTCAAAGTGGGGAAATAATTCTAATTTTATAGAAAAAAAAATCTAAGTTCACTTAATTGTAAAATAATCCAAGGGTTTTTATCTCTAAAATATACTTACCCATCTTGAACCGTCGGATGGAAAGAAAAGAATGTGGCCGTTGGATCTAAAGGGCTATAAATTAAAACTCCGTTCACAGAACAACGTCTAACCCAATCTTTTCTTCTTGCACGCTGCTCCTGTCCCTTTTTTCGTCTAGAGCTTTCTGCTTCTCCTTGTCCCGAGACCGGGCACCGCAGGTAAATCGGACCCGATCATCTAATGGGTATAAAACGCTTTTGCATTTCATCTAGATATATGGGTTTCGTTTCATAATTTTGATGATATTCCCCTTTTGTTTTTTTTTTGTCTTCGTTAATTCATTTTGCGTTTGTTATTGAGAAGAAAAAAAATGGTTTCTTTTTTGGTTGTATTTATTGATTGGGGATAAAGGCTTTGCTTTTTGTGATTTGGGCTTGCATGAATTTGGTTCAGATTGGATTGAATAAGATCAGAAGAGTAATAGTTTCGTGGGTCGAATTTGGTTGTCGTTGTGTTCAAGATTTCATTTCGAAAGATGGATTTTTTTTTTTTCCCTTAGAAGACAAGGAAGCGGATATGCGATGATATAGGATTGGCTAGGTAATTAGGGTTTTGTGGGCAGTTTTTAAGGTTTTTAATTCATGAGGAAACAGAGGGAATTGATTTTATTTATGAAAAAAGAGGAAGTCCATAAGTAGGAGTCAGTTGCACAGCTAGAATTGATTGGATCACACAATGTCTAGAACAATAATGCTGGAAATTCGTCGACAATAGTTTCTTTAACGATCGTAGTCTGATAAAAGGCAACACTCCTAGTTTTAAATTATGACTCAAATAGAACTAATAATGCCTACACAAGCTCCCAACAAAGCATCTCGTCATGGGGAATGTGCCTTTGAACCAACTCCAGCATGTCTTCTGAAAGCTACTATAGGCTTCCTTCAATGTGCTTCTTTATGGGGTAATAACTATCTTTGCAAGGATTCAGATTAATTGGGTGGTTTTTTGTGAAAAAAGAATAAAAGACAACTTGCTGAAATAACCTGAATTGGATTGGAAGGTTTGTAGTTTACCGTATCTCAAAGAGCCCTTTCTGAATTTGAGTTCTATGTTTTATAACTTAGGGTTATAGGTTAGTTGCAAGTACTGTCAAATATGATATGTGGAATTAGTAATAGAAGATTATTATTTAGCATGTTTAAGAGAGACCCAGTCTTCCTTTCTTTAGAGTTGATCCCGGTGGTTTTGTTTGTTGGTCAAATAATGTCGTGATAAGTTATTTTTCATAAGTAAGTTGGTTCTATTTCCTGGGCTGGTTAAAACCTTTTATCAGTCGGTTATTTGCATAGAAACTTGTCTAAGCTAGTCAGTTTTTAGCTACAACTTAAATTTAAGCCTAAAGGTATTAAATTAAGACAATAGAATAGGATACCTATAGATCCTTTTCTTAAGCATTCTAGATGGTGATTGTTGTGAAGTTCTTTTTGATGGCCTTTTGGGAGATAGTGGAGGGGTTTTTCTTTTGCATTATGTTAGAAGACAGTAGTTATTGATTGAAAGGAAAAGACAAATAACAAATGGTGAAGAGGGATATAGGTTAGATTGGTAACTTTGAGACAATCTGCATTCTACACTATTGGAGAGTAGATGAAGTTCTGAAATTTTGAATAATGTTTTAAATTGCCACTGATTTGATGCATGTCATTCTGAGGTGCTGTATTCCACATTGTGGTGAGTGTTATAATATGAATCTGATTCATTATTGTTTGTCTTGTAAGAGGGAGAAGTAAACTTTACTCGTTGAGTCCTTTGGTATCATACTAGGACTGTACATGTCAGGTCAGGAGAATTTCTTCACTTTTATGATTTTCCATATGTGGTGAAATACATTAGGCCAAGAATATATTTTGTGGTTCATTTGAGAATTTTGTCACAAGTACTTTTTCTGTTTCTCTTTCTTTTTTGACAATAAGTTTCGTAACATACAACTTTTACTGGTATTCTGGTTCTCTGTTAGGTTGCCTGCTCATCTAATTGTTCTTTCAGACTGGTGCTTTGAAGTTCATTATTATCACATGCGACTTTTATCTCATTTTTGTCTTGATCATGGCTTCTTGTCTTACAGTTTGAAAATGGCAGCAAAGTATATAATTGCTTCTGTTGCGGGATCATTTGCCATTGCTTTTGCAGCTGATCAGCTTGTTGCTGAGAAGAAGTTTTTTGGAGGTAAGTTGCTGTTGTAGTTTTCTGAAGCTTTTGTTATTGGCTATTGCAGAGGTTTTGTAATTGCTCTCTCTCCTCAAACTCAGGGACTACACCTCGCACTGTTTCAAACAAGGAATGGTGGGAAGAAACGGACAAAAAATTTCAGGCATGGCCCCGCACTGCTGGCCCTCCTGTGGTGATGAATCCCATCAGCCGCCAGAATTTCATTGTTAAGTCTTCATCTGAATCTTGAAGACTTAACTTTTACTTCTGTTTTGTCAATGGCTTCAGTTTGATTTGCTATTCCCTGTGAAGAAATTGTGGTGCCAGACTTTGTTTAGTCTGGCTTTTCATTTAGAGTAGTTCTTAGTTCAGAAAATTGTCTTGCCTCTTTTTGTTTTTTTCAAACTCAATCTGGCCAGACTAGCGTTTGAGGATGATATCAGTCGTCCTAGATCTCAATAAATTTCTGCGGAGCAATACCAAACTGCTTTTTACATTACTAGATCTCAATAAATTGTATGATGAGCAGCATTGTATAATCAATTGCCTGGAATCTTGTCATTGGAAGATGTTTTGCAGCATGCTTTAGAAGGGCTGAGGTTGTTTGGCCATGTTATGAATTGGTTTTCGAACTTCTCATTGACTTTCATTTGGTATAACAAACGAAAATTACGATGTGCAAACAATACAGATGCAGATGTGAGGTTGTGCCAACCATAATCCGACCTTAACAATGCATTCCACCATTTTCTATTGCTCATCTGGTCGGTGATCAATTTGTTATTACGCAGACAAAAGGCAGCATGCCACATGCAGAAAAGTAGAGTTATGGATCAAAATGGGGAATTCGATTCAGTTTTTAGTACAAGAATTAAACTTCATTGCAGAAGAAAATCACATGTAACAGAAGGTAGGAAATCAAAAACTTTGATATTACAATTGTAAGCATCTTATGCAATACAACTCAGTATTCTTTTTGATTTGTCAACAAAATATTATCATGACATTATCATGGTTTTATTTTGCTAATTAAACAGCAATTTCAAGAAATTGTTAACAATTTTAAATGGAACTCATGCAATGCTCTCAAATTTGTAGAATGTTGGGTGGATTGCAATGACAAATATTTAACGGTTGAGAAAGCCGTTTTCTCTTCATCGATTCATGGGATTTATAAAGATTGGAAAAAAAAAAAGTTTTAAAGATTAGACATGTGGCATCTTCTAAAAAATTGGGCCACTCATGCCGAGCCGTGGAAGGATTTTTGGATGTCTAATCGGGCCATACTCAACCCAAAGACAGATCTATTTAGTTAAATATTAAAAAATATTAATATTTTTAAATAAAAATTACTTTTTATTGATTAAATAATGACTCAGGTTAGGATTGGACGGATAACTTAACCCATGAAAAAAAGATCATAACAAACAATTTATTTTAACACTAGAAAATAACTTTTTAAACATAATTATTTATATTAATTTAAAAATAAATATATTAAATTTTCCTAAAAAATCTTGCTATAGAAATTCTCAACGTTATAGGAATTCCTTGTTAATAGGAACTTAAGTAGTGCAAGTTAAGTTGAACTTTGATTTTTTTTTTATTTAATGCATTTTAGTCATAGAATTATATTTCATATCCTTTTAAGGATTGCATTATACCATGACCCCAGTATTCATATTATACATAACATCATCAAAATTATTTGACCAATAATATTTAGTCTTTTTTTTTTTTTTGGGTGTTTTTCTCTGTTTCCTTGAATATTCGACATGAAGCAAAACCCTCATGAGCAAAATAGCATGCAATCTTCAGCTGCTGCTATTGGCACCTCGTCTCAAGTCTGCAATGAAGCCACCATTGAAGAGTATTTCAAGTCGTTTCCTCCAGGATATCGGTTTGCCCCTACTGACGAGGAGTTGCTTGAGGACTATTTGATGAAGAAGGTTAACAAAGAACCCTTACCTCCTAACCTCATTCGTGAGGTTAATCTCTACAGTAAAGATCCTACCGAGCTTATTGGTAACTAATTAAATCCTAAACTCTGTTCTTAAATTCGTACTTAATTTTCATGCACGTTAATTTACATTTTTCTATATTATCCACATCTAAAATATATTTTTCTTATTCCGTTTCTTTCCATTTATTATTAAATTAATTAAGTTTTACAAGAATTTAGATGTTTATGCTATATTGTCACAGATTTATATATATATATATATATATATAAAAGATGTTGCAGTTTAAAAAAAAAAAAATGACAAATGCCTTACGTAGAACAAAAAATTTGCATAAGCCGAACTAAGTTTTTATTACTAATTCATGTAATTGAATGATTTATTCCATAGGCTGAGGTCAATTTTTAATGTACTTACATGGCCATAATATATATAATATTATATATTTGAACAGTGAACTAATAATAATTCGGAAATAATCCACATTATTTTGATCCTAAACAATTGTTATGTTTTTTAGAAATTTTTTTCTTTTTAATTTCATTGAGTTGTAAATAGACTATCTTACAAAAAATTTGGTGAAATTTTTAATTTTATTGATAATATAAGACACTATTCTTATTTTTATTTTTCTACATTCTTTTCAAATATCAATTGGATTTTAGGAAGTAATCATACTTCTGTCTCATCTCTTTACTTTCCTCACGAAAAATTAGTAGATAAACCCTCTTACCAGAATCGTGGCAGACCAAACCAATCAGGTAATTAAAGCATGTCCCTAAAATTATGGTTATTGATTACGCGTTTTAACTTGATTGGTTGGGTTTAAAATTGACGTGATAGAAAAGATTTATCCTATAATTTCTCATGGTTAGTTCAATTAAATATTAGTTTTAATTTTTTTTTTTTAACCTTGATAAAAACTGATGACTGGAAATATTTGCGATGGGTCAGTTCAAAACGAACCAATTACAGAAGCAGAGTGGTATTTTTTCACTCCGAGAGAAAAAAAATATCCTAATGGATCGAGGCCAAAGCGTTCTACTCCAAACGGGTATTGGAAGCCAACCGGAACTGATAAAGCCGTTCCTCATGGTTCTAAGCACCCTGTTGGATACAAAAAGACCCTTGATTTCTATGAAGGCAGGCACCCTGGAGGCACTAAAACTGATTGGAAAATGCACGAGTATAAAGTTAAAGACAGCAACTCCCAAAACAACCCCAAGCGCAAGGATGACATGAAGGTAAACGCTCTCAATAATTCATGTATTATGCGATATTGTATTAATTCAATTTTGTAAAGTAATGTAATTTTGTGTTGTAGTTGGATGATTGGGTTTTGTGCAAGATATACATGAAGAGGCAAAAGAATGGAGGGGACGAAGAAGAGAGTAATGGTGATGGAACTCAGCCTACAACTGTTATAGCACAGAATAATGATGCATCTTCAATGGTTGGAACCAATAATGAATTTGAAGATCAGAAATCGAATGGTAATTCTCAGCCAATTGTCAATGTGAATTCACAGGAAAATGAAGCATCTATGATGGGTGGAAACAATAATATTAGGTTTGAAGATCAGAATTGGAATGCTAATTCTCAGCCAATTGTTAATGTGAATTCACAGGAATATAGAGCATCTATGATGGCTGGAAACAATAATATTGGGTTTGAAGATCAGAAATCGAATGCTAATTCTCAGCCAACTGTTAATGTGAATTCACAAGAAAATGGAGCATCTAGGATGGCTGGAAACAATAATATTAAGTTTGAAGATCAGAATTGGAATGCTAATTCTCAGCCAATTGTTAATGTGAATTCACAGGAATATAGAGCATCTATGATGGATGGAAACAATAATATTGGGTTTGAAGATCAGAAATCGAATGCTAATTCTCAGCCAACTGTTAATGTGAATTCACAAGAAAACGGAGCATCTAGGATGACTGGAAACAATAATATTAAGTTTGAAGATCAGAATGGGAATGCATTTCAGTCAACTCTTAATGTAGTACAGAATAATGAAGCTTCTTCATTGGTTGGAAACAATAAATTTGAGTTTGAAGGTCAGAATTCGAATGCATCTCAGCGAACTCTTAATGTAGCACGGAATAATGAAGCTTCTTCAATGGCTGAACACAATAAATTTGAGTTTGAAGGTCAGAATTTAAATGCATCTCCGTCATCTCCTTATCCGGAACTAGGGACTGTCGAATCGTATTTCATGGTCAGTCAACCTGTCAATCAAGACGAAGATCAAAGTGATATCTGGGAGGATTTTGACTTTTCTATATTCGACGTTCCAAGTTCAGAAAAGAAAAAATAAGATACTTTGCTTTTTTTTTTTTTTTAGGAGGCTTTCTTAAACTTTGTTTTTTTTTTTATTATTTAAAATTATCGGGGATTAAACCCTAGTCATTAGATTTAAGAATCCAACAAATCATAAGATATATTTATATTTATATATACATATGATATGCCAAATTTTTTTCTTCAAGAGAGGAATATTATAATTTAATATTAGTAGGATAGTTTTTAAGCGAAATATTAATTACCTAATTAGTTTACCATTTTAGTTGAGCTCAAGTTTTAGAGTCATTTTTTTATACATATAAAAGGTGCTTTTAGGTTTTATTTTTTAGCCAACATATTTTTTTTCCTTTGTTAATTATTCGCATTGTCTGGATGTATCATAATGTTTAATTTCCTCTAAATTTTGTACTTGCTCTACATGTAAATTTTATATTTTTTTCGGTTTTCTATTTTTTGACAATAATTTCTCTCTTCACCTTATAGAACTTCCTGTTTCTTGATGCAATGTGAAATAATTTGCCAAAGGATATGGTTTTGAAAACATTTTTCCTTTGGAATAAATCAGATTTGTACTCATCCAAAAAAAAAAAAAAAAGTGAGCAAGCCTGCAATGAAGTGAACAAGTTGCATATTGCAGTATTACTGTCAAACCACCAAAAACAACAGCAAGAAAGCTAAAAGCAATTTGCTAAATTTACAAACATGTTATCTTCTAATCCCCAATTATGCCAAGCATCCCTATTTATGCTATTCCCTGAGATTTCTTTCTCCATGCTAATTTGAGAAGTACAGTAATGATCAGAGCCTTTCCCTTGAGCTTTTGTTGCAGTACTCATCTGAATTCAGTGACCAATCACCAGCTTCCCTATATATTAATGCCACATAAGATGATGGACTTGTTGCCAAACCTGCTCGATAAGATCACAAATGATAAAGAGATAATCTTTAGATCACACTGCACTATGATCACAAAACCAAAAACACACAATTGGTGTTGACAGATAGACCTCCTCAAGAGTTGGGTCTTTGTCTGGTAGGAAGCTTGTCAAGAACGATCATCCAAGCAATAATGGCATTTCCTGCTCTCTTTTCTCTTGGTTTTCATTAAAGGCAGAAAAATTTTTTCAAATGGTTCTTTACACATGAAGATGGCAAAGCCAAAAGGATGATGATTCTAATTTTTACCTTGGCTATATCAGTATCACAAGTTCGCATGCTTATCAATTTACTGTTTGATTTTAATTTTGTGATTAGTTGATACATCATATCTTACTCGAATTTTTAATTAATTATATTCATCTTTTTTTCATTTAGCAACATGATGACATTTGACAAGAATTATTTTGCATGCAAAAGTTAAAATATCTTCCTTCATTTTTCATGCATGCAAATTTTTGTATAGAGCAGAAGCTTATACTAGTTAATTCTATAATACTAGTAAAGCTATTGTAGACATGACTAGATTAATATTTGCTTTGGGAAATAATATAAGGCCACAAGTGTTTAATTATGTAATCAATGTTTACAATATCTTTATTTTAAAAATAAGAAGTAAATAGAATTAGATATATATGATTTTTGTGAAATATTTTATTTTTATTGATGATTTTTAAAATTCAAATTTTAAAATATTCCCAATTCACCTAATATTTTATCAACTCATTAAATTCTAATGAAATTTGTCATTTCAATAGAGGTAAAAAAGGTTAGCTTGTTTGATTTTTTGGATTGAAATTTACATCATATGAATATCATCTTGGCATGTTCTATTAATTTTAATGATGATCAATGAAATAAATGAATTTGAAATTATAGATCTAAAATTCGAATTTCATAAATCATGTATAAAAAAGAAATATTACACAAAAATTAATGATAATTGGTATTTTTACTTTGAAATGTAACATTTATAAGATTATTTGAGATATAATTAATATATAAACATGCGTGTAAAATATTACTGTGAGATATTTAGCATGTATCTTGCGTAAGTGTATTAATAAATACGTTGTTGTTGGGTCAAGTACTTGGGCTTTGTAGAGAATCTTTTATATAAATTATAAGAAACTAGACAATTCAAAAAAAAAAAAAAGGAGAGAAATCTTGCTGTCCTTGCACATTAGTAGCTAGTATATATTTCATATAAAAGGTAATTAATCATCTAAATTAATAATTATTATTTTATGTCAATTTAATTTTTTACATCCAAACATTAAATTCAGTAATTGATGTATGATTTTTTATTTTTACAAAATATGATTCAAATCTCTCCTTAATTTTCCAAATCAAAAATTAAAAAAATTTTAATTTCATTTTATATTTTTGAATTAGTTAAGACATGCTTATATCTTTAATTAATGTTCGCATGTACAACTAATTCAATTGTGTAATCAATCATATTTGTTTGTATGCATGCATGCATGTACTTATGTTTACATATATAATGGAAACAAAATCCTCTCTCAGTCTTAATTTGAAGAAATGGAGCAAAATGATCAACACAACAAGCTAACCAGAACGCAAACGGATGGCCAAGAAGAAGGTGAAAGCAATATTGAAGAATACCTCAACTCTTTTCCTGTTGGAGTTCGATTCTTCCCCAGCGATGAAGAGCTGATTGAACAATTCTTGAAGAAAAAGGTTATGAATCAACCCATTTTCCCTAAAATCATTCAGCCAGTTAATATCTACCAACATAATCCTCAACAACTCACTGGTAATTACGAGCACTTTGACTTCATTTAATTTCTTCTTTTTTCCCATTCATAATTTAATTTAAAATTTTTAATCGAGTTTATTTTAATATAAATATATAGCAAAGTAATTAAATTTTACATGTGTGAGCTTAAGCCTTAAGGAAAGACTTACTGCTACTATCGTTTTTGTTAGGGATGTACAAGCCACTTACTGAAACGGAGTGGTATTTTTTCGCTCGTAGAGATCGAAAGTACCCCAAAGGATATAGGCTGAATCCTGCTACTCCTGAAGGATTTTGGAAGAAGAATTGTAAAAAAACTATCACTTTAGACTCTAAAAATGACCCTATTGGATACAGGGAGTTCTATGCTTTCTTTGAAATGGAGAATCAACAAGTAAGAAGTACGGATTGGAGAATGCATGAATATAGTATTCACAACAAGATTTCACCTACAAACCAGGAAAGTGCTGCTGGGAATGGCTTCCAGGTCAACTACCTCGACCAGCTTTCCCTTTATAATTCTTAAATGATTTCCTTGAGAAAGATTATTGATGAAAATATTCAAGGTTAACTACAGAATTCAGGGATTAATCTGTTGGGTTTTTATTCTAATATGGTTATTTTTGTTGCAGCTTGATGAATGGGTTTTGTGTAGGATATACAAGAAGAAAGATAAGAATATGGAGGAGGAAGACAATGAAACTTTGAATCCAAAATTGGCTCAGGGTCATGATTTGTTTGACGATTATTTGCAACTCACAGCTAATAACCCTTTTCCTTATCAAAAAATCAATGGTTGCTTTGATGATTTAGAGGAAGTTGATTTGTGGTCCATGTAGACAGTTCAGCAAAGAGAAATAAATAATTGATTTATGGTGTATATACGAATCCGATACCATTTAAAATGTATATAGATTTACAGAAAATATACATGTCAAATTAGTATTTACTTATTCGAATGGAAATTTTTTTTAATTTCTTTATCATTAGCTAATAGAAATTATATCATCTCTCCTACCATACAACAACCAAAAAAAAAAAGGCATATCATCTCTGCAATACCTCCCACTCTTGAAGAAAGATAACTTGCCGCAGTAACTGGCAAACCAGAAGCAGCATAAGATATGAAGGTATCACACACCAGAAGCATATCAAATATGTAATGGTGACAAGTACAAAAGCAGCAGCAGCAGCAGCAGCAGTGCACATCGATAAAGATCCATAAACCAACAAACCAAAAGTATAAGAAGACATTATAACAGGAAATATATTATATATCTAACATACCCACAAAAGGTTCAGCACCACAACACAGTCATAAACGATAAACCAAATATCTAATCCAAATGAGTGTGTGATGTTATTTAAAGCCAAATGGCCAACAACCAAACACCTTAATTGCTTAACCAGATTCTAAGCTTTAAAACTTAGAAACCACCACGAAGGCGAAGAACAAGATGCAGAGTAGACTCCTTCTGGATGTTATAATCTGCAAGAGTCCTCCCATCCTCAAGCTGCTTCCCAGCAAAAATCAACCTCTGCTGGTCTGGTGGGATCCCTTCCTTGTCCTGAATCTTTGCCTTCACGTTATCAATGGTGTCTGAACTTTCAACCTCCAAAGTGATTGTCTTTCCAGTTAAGGTCTTCACAAAGATCTGCATGCCACCACGCAGTCGCAACACCAAATGAAGAGTTGACTCCTTTTGGATATTATAGTCAGCCAATGTCCTCCCATCTTCAAGCTGCTTGCCAGCAAAGATGAGCCTTTGCTGGTCTGGGGGGATACCCTCCTTGTCTTGGATCTTTGCCTTCACATTGTCAATGGTGTCTGAACTTTCAACCTCCAAAGTTATAGTCTTTCCAGTCAGAGTCTTCACAAAAATCTGCATACCACCACGAAGGCGGAGAACCAAATGGAGAGTTGACTCCTTCTGGATATTATAATCGGCAAGAGTCCTTCCATCTTCAAGCTGTTTTCCTGCAAAAATCAATCTCTGCTGGTCTGGTGGGATACCCTCTTTGTGCTGAATTTTGGCTTTCACATTATCAATGGTATCTGAGCTCTCAACTTCCAAGGTAATTGTCTTACCAGTGAGAGTCTTAACAAATATTTGCATGCCACCTCGGAGACGAAGTACCAGGTGGAGGGTGGACTCCTTCTGAATGTTGTAGTCAGCTAGGGTGCGGCCATCTTCAAGCTGCTTTCCAGCAAAAATAAGCCTTTGCTGGTCTGGTGGAATCCCTTCCTTGTCTTGGATCTTTGCCTTCACATTGTCAATGGTGTCAGAACTCTCAACCTCAAGGGTAATTGTCTTGCCAGTAAGGGTTTTGACAAAGATTTGCATGCCACCTCGAAGACGAAGCACCAGGTGGAGGGTAGACTCCTTCTGGAATGTTATAGTCTGCCAGCGTACGACCATCTTCAAGCTGCTTTCCAGCAAAGATAAGCCTCTGCTGGTCTGGGGGGATTCCTTCCTTGTCTTGGATCTTAGCCTTGACATTATCAATTGTGTCAGAGCTTTCAACCTCCAAGGTAATTGTCTTTCCAGTGAGAGTCTTGACGAAAATTTGCATGCCACCACGAAGACGAAGAACCAAGTGGAGGGTGGACTCCTTCTGGATGTTGTAGTCAGCTAGCGTGCGACCATCTTCAAGTTGTTTGCCAGCAAAGATAAGCCTTTGCTGATCTGGTGGGATCCCTTCCTTGTCCTGGATCTTAGCCTTCACATTGTCAATGGTGTCAGAACTCTCCACCTCAAGGGTGATGGTCTTGCCAGTGAGGGTTTTCACAAAGATTTGCATCTATTAAATAAAGGGACCAACAACCAAAGGATCAACAACGGACTAGGATCTCAAAAATTTTAAAAGATTAGCAGAAAAATCAAAGTGGTAACCCAAAAATCATTACTCATGGACCAATAATAGATTCGTAGATACATAAAACACGAAAAATAAAATCAGCATGATAACCAAAACAAGCCACATTCGAAATTAAAATTAAGAATTTCAAAGAACCCATAGCGACAACTAAAAAAATTATATTTTTACAACTGAATTTCGAAAAACAAAGATGATCTATTGAAAGCTTCCCCCAATAATTAAGCTATCCTCCTTCCAGGCAAGAGATTCAAGACAATACGATTAACAAACAAGATTCAATTAATTAAAAAATATAAAAGGTAATTCATAATAAATAAAGACGATCAAAATGTTGATTGCTACGGAAAGATCAATCAAAATTCAAAGTAATTGAAAATTAAAAATTGAATCGAAACAATTATGATTACCTTGAAAGAGAATTTGGAAAAAGCTTGGAAGCGTTGAAATTAAAATTGTTCGCTGAACAAAAGACAAGGAGGCTAGGGTTTGGAGATCTACGCCTTTTTTATAGATGGAATTTGCCAACTTAATGACGATATTGCCGATAAGATAACCAATCAATTACTGCCACGTAAATTTCGACTCCGCGTGTACCGTTGCGCCTAGTAAGATTTTTTTCTTTTCTAAATAAAATAGAGGAAATAAAATGGCAAAAGCCTAAAACTATGCATTCATACGACTAAAATTAGGCAAGTTATTAAAAAAATTAATCTATTCTTAATCTTCAATTTTTATCTATGTTAAAACATTTCGATCATAAATTTTGTTGAACTCAATAATCTTAAAAAATACGGCTAACATACGTAACATATGAGCAAATACTATAAATATTATATTTTTATTTGTAATTAACTTTTAAAAATTTTTATTTACATTTTATTATTAAAAATTTCATTACATATTTTATTAATTTTTTTGAATTTCTTACTCTATCCTTAAGTTTTCAACCTCTATTTATATTGTTACAAATTCCATTACATATTTTATTATTTTTTAAAATTCTTAATATACTCTTCTCAACTTATATTTATTTTTTATATAAAGAATGCCTTTGAAGGGGGATGTAAAAATGGATTACATATTTTTGAATTTAAACATTGAATCTATTAATATCATTTTTAAAAAATAATTATACCAAATAATTGAATTAAATTTTAAATTTTTATTTATTTAACTCAACTAAAAAAAAATTAAATACTTAACTACTCTTAAAATTACAACCTTCAATAATATTTTCAAGATGAATTTCATTGGAGTTAATGCTCATATAATGTTGATTGCCCAAGTTTTAACTGATCTAACACTATGAATTGTTAATTAATGGTTGAGCCATAAATTTTCAATATATTTAATAAACAGATTTATGTATACGTAAAATTTCAATTCAAATCAAAATAAATATTGAAAACTGACAGTATAACATATAGGTAAACACACAAAGTTTCCTTCTATATATTGTTATTTTTTCTCTAGTTACTTTTTGCTTCAACAAGATGAGCCACCTCTTTATAAGCCTTGAGAACTTGTATGAAATTGATTAGTAGATGATTACACCTATAACATTAATGCTGCAAATGCATGGAGATTAGTGAGTATAAAATAAACTTATCAGGATAAACTTACATCATTTTTTGATAAATATTAATAAAAAAAAGAAAAAGAATAAAAAAAGGTTTTTTAAAAAAAAGAAAATGATACATGTAATTATTGTTTGGATAATTAAAATTAATAAAGAAAAGAAAATAAAAAAAATTTTAACAACTATTGTTTGGATAAAGAGTAAAAAATAAAGGAAATGATTCATTATAATAATTTTTTTCAATTATAAACTTTCATTGCTTGTGATTTTAGAGCACTCTTAAGCTATGATATGTTTGTTATCTTATCTAGCTTCATAATTACTGTTGTATCAATAATTTTTAATTAAATAAAACAAAAAGATATTTTACAAACATGTATTGATGAATTTCGAATTAATCTGTCATCTCATAAATCTAAAAAAATATATCTATTTATATTCAACAATTCATCTAAATCAAATACCAAAAAATTATAAAAAAAATTTTATATTAAAAGAGATATGTGAAACTTACTTAAAAAAAAAAGATGATTTTAAAAAAATTATAAAATGATTGTGATTTGTTCAGATTTTTTTATTAAATTTTTAGTATTAATAAAAATATGGATATAATAATTTTTTTATAAAAAAAAAATATTTTTTAACTTTTCTTTCCCTAGCTTTTCCACTAAATTAGAGTATTAAAAAAAAAAGAGTTTACAAAAAAAATTAAAGGTTATTTGGTTTCTACCTTTTTTTTTTAAATTAAAAATTTATCTAAATAAAAAAACAAATGTTTTATTTCTTTTACATTCATTTACTTTACTTTTCTTTCTTTTTTCTACCTTCAATTTAAAGACACTGTTAGTCTGTTTTTTGAAAACATATACATTAATTCAGAGAAAATTATTCATACAGTGTAATTAGTTATAGAGTTTTTAAACTTGACAAGTGAAATTCGATGGTTGACTATTAAGATTTTTTTTATAAAATTAGTAAATTTTTATAACAAATAAATAAACAAATAATGATATTCATTCTTATAAAGTTTAAATATTACTTTGTTGTACAGAATAATAATCTTAAAATTCATTTCTAAAATTTTTAAGGGTTAAGTATTGATTTAACCCTTATACTATATATTTTATATCAATTTAATATTTAAAAAAACTTTTAAGTAGAGATCTAAATTTTTATTCTATATATTTTATATCAATTTAATTTTTTTTAAAAATTTTAATTAAATACTCAAAATTTGATTCTATCATATATTTTAATATTTTAAATTAACATTATTAGTTAAATCATTATGTAATATGAATATCCAATAAAATTATACACATGCTAACAAAATATTACATCATTATAAATAGAAAAAAATTGAAAAATAAAAATTCCAAATATAAAATATGGTTTTATAATTCAAAATTAAAAAAAAAGAAAAGAAAGAGATAAAAGAATAGAGAGAGGGAGAAGGACGGAAAGAGGAGAGAGAAGAGAATGAGGGTGAAGGGGGGGGGGGGGGGGGGGGTTAGAGGGATGGGAGGAGGCGTCGCCACAGTCGATTGGTCAATTCGGGGTGAAATGGGATTAATCTGCTCCAGACATGGCGAATCAGCACCGATCTGACTTATCAATCACGATATTGGCGATGCTGAAGCATCCCCCCTTCCTCTTTCACCGTTTTCCCAATCCTTTTCTTTTTTTTTTTTTTTCCCTTCAAATTTTAACTTTTTTATTTAACAAAAATATTTATTTTTTTGAAAATTTCGGAAATTTTTATATAAAATTTCATATTTTTTATTTGTATGTTTTTTAAAAATTTAAAAATAAATTTTTTTTATTTTGACATGATAATAAATGACGTGATCTGAAAATATCTGAATTTAAAATGATTTAAATCTAAATCATTCGAATTTAAGATAATATGATTTCAAATTTACCTGATTCAAACCCACCTATACCAACAGTAATTAGATTAGTAATTAGTTTGCCACTACACTGGCTTGAATTTTAGAAGTGAATTTTTCACTAAAGCGACATTCTCCAACTCAATTACGGTACTAACTTTATTCTTTTGTCCACACATGTCATCCAATCCAACGATCAATTGCTTACATTTTCCACACTCTCGTCATTGGAGCGTGCACTCAAAATTCCTCCTCTATTGGTGATTTGTTTCTCAACTCCGACTACAACCCAAAAGTCCGACCCCATTTTGATGGTGTGTTAAATTTCCTCACAGAGAAAAACACTCAGACAAAAAAAAAAAAAGTTGAGAGCAGCAGAGCAGTTCTTCCTTTGATTTTCTGATGGTGATCTTCTCTTAAATCCAGTGATCATCAGCCGCTTAATCTATAGCTAGCTTGGAAGCCCGCTTGAGGTAAAGCCTATTTAGAGAAAAGTGCTTCTATTTTTTCCACCTTGTCATGAACTACAATCTATAACTTCTTTCCTTAGCTTTATATATTTATTAACTTCTTTTCTTTTGAAAACTTTTTTCAATCTATATTTACTAAATTACCTGATCAACAATGTTAATATTATTTCTGTTTTATTTCTTAATATAAAACACTTTGGTTTTTCAAACTAAAACAATTAAAAACATTTCCGTTGATTTGATCAAACAATTAATAGTTTTGTCAGCTTGATGTTGTCTTAATTTTATGCAGCTGTTTTAGTTACTGTAGCTTATTGTGTGGTTTTGTCGACTGAATTCCTTCTCGTCGTGCTTCATATTTCGCAAAGGCAATTTCCCCCCAAAAGTCAGGTACTTGATGTCGAGCTTCTCACATATACAATATCTCTTCTTCTATTCGTGTCTCTTTCTCTCTCGCACTCTCAATAATTTTACTTAAGAGAATTGTTCTTCAACTCAGATCATTTTGAAGAATTAATGGCTGCTGAATTTGCTACATCCGTCGCTAGTGGTGTCGCGGAAAACCTGGTGGAGCGATACGTGGTGAGGCCAGCATTAAGTAATCTTCGTTACGTGTTTTGTTTTCAAAACATTGTCGAAGAATTTAATGAACAGAAACAATTATTGTCATCGGCACAAACTCGGCTGCAAAATGATGTTGCGGAGGCCAGAAGGCAAACTCTAGAAATTGAGCAGGACGTGAAGAAGTGGCTAGAAGAGGCGGATAAAGTTATGGAAGAAGTAGAAAGCCTGGAAAATGAAATACAAGAAAACAAGCCATGTCTCACTTGGTGTCCAAATTGGAACTGTCGTTACAGGCTTGGTAAGAAAATAGCAAAGAAGACGCCTGGGATTGCTAAACTTGTAGAGAGTTCAAAATTTGATCCCAATCGCATTGGCCATCGTGCTACTCTGCCCAACTTCCTCCCATCTAAGGATTTTGTGCCTTCAGAATCTTCGACATCTGTTTTGAATCAGATCTGGGAGGCGCTGAAGATTGATTCTGTGAATATGATTGGAGTGCTTGGGATGGGAGGGGTGGGTAAAACCACATTGGTCAAAGAAGTCGGAAAGAAAGCTGAAGAATTGAAGCTTTTCGATGAAGTTGTGATGACTACAGTGTCCCAAAATGTAAACATTGACAAAATTCAAGATGAAATTGCAGATCTCTTGGGTTTAGAGTTTGATAAGAAAAGCGAACAAGGAAAAGCACGACAGTTATGGCTGAGATTGAAAAATGTGGAGAGAATTCTCGTAATTCTTGATGATGTTTGGACTAGCATCAACTTGAATGATATTGGAATTCCCATCGGTGAAGATCACATAGGTTGTAAAATTCTTTTGACAACGCGTCTTCGACAAGTATGCTCTTACATGAGTTGCCATCCGGTGATTGACCTGGAAGTTTTAGAAGAGGATGAAGCATGGGATTTGTTCCAAAAAAATGCAGATCTAAAAAATGACTTTGAAGGTATCCGCTTGCGTGATGTAGCAATGGAAGTTGCCAGGGAATGCAGGGGTTTGCCCCTTGCAATTGTAACCATAGCAAGGGCCCTAAAACATAAAACTCTTGATGCATGGATAGTAGCCAATAAACAGCTCAGAGAAAGCCAACATTCTGGTAATAGCTATGAAAACATCTATACACGTCTCAAGATTAGTTATGACTGTTTGACGGGAGAAAAGATCCAATCATGTTTCTTATTATGTTCGCTTTTTCCCGAAGATTATGATATCAGTATTGAAGATCTGACCAGATTTGGCGTTGGGCAAGGACTGTTCCATGATGCTAGCTTAATTGATGATGCAAGGACGGAGATGCGTGCCAAGCTAGAAGACCTTCAAAACTCAGGTTTGTTGTTGGATAGTCGTAAAGATAAATGTGTGAAAATGCATGACGTGGTTCGTGATTTTGCTCACTGGATAACATCTAAAGGAGAGAAAGTATTCAAGGTAAATGCAGGCCTTGGATGGAAGGAATGGCCTAGGAGTGAAAGTTTTGAATGTTTCACAGCAATCTCCTTGATGAACAACAAAATAGAGAGGCTTCCTGATGGACTAGAATGCCCGAAGCTTGAAACCCTGTTAGTGGGTGGAGATGGTTCAACCAAAGTTTCAGGTGCATTTTTCGAAGGAATGAAAGCCCTCAAAGTCTTAACCCTTGAAAATGTTCTGTTGTCACTAGAAGGACTTCAAGGCCTGACAAATCTTCGAAATCTGCGCTTGGAAAAGTGCAAACTCGAGAATGTTTCTTCATTGGCGAAATTGAAGAAACTTGAGATTCTAGACCTTCGCAGTTCTCATATCTACGAGTTACCGATTGAGCTAAGGGAATTGAGGGGCCTAAGATTGCTGGATCTCTCAACATGCGGAATGCTTCAGAGGATTCCCATCAACTTGCTCACAAGGTATGTATGTATCGTTCAGATGTTTGTTTTCCATTTCTTCAGAGGAAAAATATGGGTATACCTTTCTGATGAAATCAACATAAGCATTCATTGATCAGTTTAATGCTTCCATTTGTAATTTAATGTAGGTCCTCTATTGATCTGATTGCTTTGATTTTTTTGTGTTTTTCTAGATTGGAGTCCCTGGAAGAGCTATACATTGATTATCCTAGCTTTGAACAATGGACAACCGAAGAAAAAAGTGGAGAGGGAAGCAATGCAAGCCTTTCAGAGCTAAATCTGTTGAGCCATTTAAAGGCACTTACCTTGTGCGTTCGTTCTAAATGCCTTTCAAAACATTTCGTGTTCCCAAAGTTGGAGAGGTACGCGATAATGGTAAATAAATGGCAACATGATAACTATCCCACCTCTAAAACCTTGAAAATAAAGGAATCCTCACTGGACGCATTTAAAAGTTTGCTTCTCAATGTGGAAGATCTTTCCTTGGATAGCATAACAGGTTATAAAAATCTTGTTCCAGTCTTGGATCGACAAGGCCTTCAGAAATTAACTTTTCTTGAACTTCAAGATTGCAAGGATATTGAATGTCTGATCGATACTACTCAGCACCAATCGCCAACCACTGCATTCTCTAATTTGGAGAAATTGAGCATGACTAAAATGGTTTCTTTGAAGCAGTTATGCAATGGTCTGCCTCCGAAAGAGTTCCTGCAAAACTTAAAAGAGTTGTCAATAAGACATTGTATGGACATGATCTCTGCAGATCCATGGGTACAAAATCTAAGAAAGGTAACAATTAAAGATTGTCGTCAGATGCTAGTAGTATTTGAAATGGGTAAGCTTCTTCATTTCAAGCAAGAACATGATCAGCCACAATTGCTCTCAATGTTAACGTACCTGGAATTAGAGTTCTTACCAGAGTTATTGTGCATATGGAAAGGACAGACTCACCATGTAAGTCTCCACAGTCTAAAGGTTGTAAGGGTACAACATTGTGACAAATTGACGTCTTTATTCTCGCCTTTCCTTGCTCAAAGTTTGATTCAGCTTGAAGAACTTGAGATACTCCATTGCCCTCAATTGAAGCGAATCATCGCTGACTTCGAAGAAGATGATGAAGAAATATCACTAAACTCCTTTTTGCATCCTTTGTGCTTGCCAAAATTGACAACTATTAGGATAATTGACTGTTCTAGATTGGAACATGTCTTCCCGATGTCAATGGCTGAAGGTCTTCCACAGTTGAAAAGCCTTAACATAATTGATTCCTCTCAATTAGAACAAATTTTCAGCACCGTAAAAGAGAAGGATGAAAAGGATATTGTGCTCTCACAGTTGCAATCATTAGTGCTTCAAAATTTAGTGAATTTGAAGAGTTTCTGTCCGGAAAATTGTTTTGTCAAATTGCCATCTTTGGTAGAGTTGAAAATGTATAGATGTCCTGAACTGACTCGTTTTACTGCTCAACTGCCAGCTAGGACTTTGGCTCAACTAAAGGTACTTCCCTCTCTCTTCAGCCATGATTTTATGCATCATAATTATTAGGAAGAGATCTAGAGTTCTAGTTTAGTACTTTCTTCTTAGGCAAAAAAAATAGTATTATGTATTTATATTCAACATTCACAATATAATCAAGTAAGAGCATGTTTTGATAGGAGCTACGCCTCTTTGAGGTTGGGAATAATAGCCAATTGTACACCAGAGTTGGACCCCAATTGAGACAGACGTCATCATCAGATTCAGAATATTTGACAATTGGGAATTGTCAAGAGATATTTCAGCTTCAAGGTGGTGACCTCCTTCTCAGTCTAGAGACACTACACTTGGAGGACTTATCTGAGTTACAGGTTATATGGAAATGTCCAACTCAAGTAGAAACTCTTCAAAATCTCACACAATTGATGTTGATTGACTGCAAGAGCTTGAGATACGTCTTCCCGCCGATGCTTGCCCAACATTTGTCGCATTTGAGCTACCTATGTGTAAAGGGGTGTGAGGCATTAGAGCAGATAATTGATCAGGACCAAAGTTCAACATCGTCATCTAATGCTCAACTTCAACCTACAATAAGCTTCCCTAGTTTAAGAAAAATATGGATCATAGGTTGCAACAAATTGAAATGTCTGTTCCCAATCAGTGTTGCTCATTGTCTTCTTAATCTCGAAGAGTTCAAAGTAGAAGGAGCTTCCAAATTAGAGCAAATATTTGGACATGAAGATGAAACAGACCTCAAAGATGGGAAAGAGATGGTACTTCCTCAATTGAAACGATTATTCCTTAAAAGGCTACCTAGCCTCATAAGGTTCATCCCGGAGTGTTATCATTTTGTGTTCCCAACATTGGAATATTTGGAAGTAAAAGAATGTTCCAAGATAACTACAAGTTTTCTTGTTCATTCAGATTCAGCATGTTCTATGCATGCCCAAAAGGTATCCAATGAGCTCTCTTTTTTTTTTTTGTTTTTCTTTATTGCTGATAATAATATATAGCCAAAGCATAGTCACACACATCAGAAGTTTTATCATTTTTATAATAGATATAGAATTATTAGACAGGTTTCAAAACAAAATTCAGCAGTATTAGCCTTATTAAAGTTTTATAAGATTGGGTTATTTCTGTGTTCGCAGGAGTTTTGCCTCTTTAATATGAGACATAAGAACAAGCAGTGTGACTCCATTGTCCCTCAATTGAGACAAAAGTCACCAAATTTGGAAATTTTGGCTGCTAAAAATCATGAGAGGGTGTTTCAGACTGAAGGTGGTTATACTCTTTCAAGTTTAAGGGTATTGCGATTGGAGACTCTACCTGAATTATGCATTATATGGAAGGATCCTGTCCAAAATGTAACCCTTCAGAATCTTATTACATTGAAGGTGATTCATTGCAAAAGCCTGAGACATGTTTTTTCACCAATGATTGCTCAGAGTTTGTTGCACTTGAAATATCTAAAGATATGGGGATGCGAAGCATTGGAGCAAATCGTTGCCGCGGATCAAATTTCACCGTCACAAGTTCTTCTCCAAGCATGTTTCCCCAATTTGACCAGGTTGCAAATTGGAAAGTGCAAAAACTTGAAACGTCTGTTCCCTGCTAGCTCTGTTGGTTATGTTTCAAAACTCAGATATCTCATAATTGAAGAGGCCTTGGAATTGGAGCATTTGTTTGAACATGAAGATAAAGCGAGCACCAAATATGGGAAAAGCTTGTTCGTCCCTCAATTAGAAGTTTTATTCCTTGGGAAATTGCCAAGCCTCTTGAGCTCCATCCCCGAGGGTTATCATTTTATATTCCAATCTTTGCGGTCTTTGACGGTAAAAGAATGTCCCAAGATAACTACAGCTTTTGCAGTTGATACAAATCTTTTTGTTCACGCCAAAACAAAGGTATCACTCAACACTCCTGTCCCTATGTTCAACAAAATTTCATTATTTTCACATCTTTAGGCAATTTTTCTCAAGAGATTAGTAGCATATCTCATATATAGTGACATTTTAATTAATTGGTTGGAAAGACATCCCAAGTTGTTGAGAAAGAGACGGTCAAAACTACTACCGCAATTCAACGAATAGAGGATGGAGCAGACAGGTCTACCAGCAAAGACATATATTGGTATCGTTGGTATCAACCAAATGAGCTACCTCCATACATGGAAGAACCAGGAGAAAGTTTCTGACAACAAAGTGAAAAATCTTGCCTTCGTATCATACGGTAGATCTTATTTATTTCTTCTTTCATTTGTTGATCAGATGTTTAGATTGTTAATTTGGATTATTTTGGAGGGTTTAAGTTGAAGGTAACTACTTCTTTTGGCACTTTTACAGTTGCTAGTGCTTGGGAAGAGATTAGGCACTCAGTCATTGCTTGGATGGAAATTTTGGGCAGATTACCTTCTCTTCCGAGAACTAGCTCCTGGAACCATTCTTCAATCTCTGCTACAAAATTGTTTATTATATAGTTTTGGTCCAGTATGCAGAGAGATCATAAATCTCCTCATGTCCTTTTTCTCATCAGGTGTAGTCTTTTATTTTGCATTTGTCTCAGAAAAACAGATCAGTTGGTAATCGAATGCTGAATTAATAGGCTACTGCTAACTCAAGGGGAATAATATGGCCGCCATTGTCCTCAGCTCAGGCTTGCCTGATCAGCTCGTCTCTATTAATAATTTTATACGTATGGAGGGAAAGGAATAATGTTCTGCACTTTGTAATTATGTTCTTTTGTTCCTTAACTTTGGTTTTGCTGCTCCTTCCTAGTGGCTTGCATGTTTTGTAGCAAGACTCCTGATTTCTTTGGATGAATAACGTTATGTCATGTGTAATGCATAGGCTTATTGATAAAATAAGATATTAATTATTTTATATCATATTTAATTTATATCTAAATCGAAAAATAGAGATTGTAAGAAAGATTAATATTCTCTTGGTATAGTATTATTCAATTCTCTTCAAGTAAAATGATTATTTTTAATCTATGAGATTAAATTTATATGTTTAATTATATTTTTAAAAATTATATTAATAATTTAAATTGTATAAATTTTAAAAAAAATAATTTTGATAAATAAATAAATAAATTTATCATAATTTTTACATATATTAAATACAAAATAAAATGATATTATTTAATTTAATCATATTTATAATATTATTTTATTTTTTTTATTATAATTTTATGTGTCAAACATAATTTTAGATTTTATATAAAAAAAAGGTCCAAGACAGCAAGTAATTCATTTTTATTTTTCTATTTTGCTCGCATGGCAGGTTACGAGGCCGTATATACGGTGACCTTTACTATTTGAATGAAATAATTGTGCTTTTTTGTTAGGGTATTTTTGTTTTACCCCACTGGTTATAGTCTTGAAACAAAAACAAAACTATTTCGAAAAAAAAAAAAAAAACAAAATTGGCTTTGTAGTGATGACTCAGACTAGGTTTACTTTTTTATTTTTTTGTGCTTCATCAATACATGCATGGGACCCTGCTAAACCATCCAGATCTTCTTGAATGAGCCTAAATAAACTATCCGGCGGAACAAGAAGCTTGGAGATTTGAAAGTTGCCAATGAATGCCCAACGAGCGAAGAAATATGCGCAAAGATTAGCTTCTCTGTAGGTGTGGGCTATAGAACTTTGCCAATCTGTTTGTAAATTTAATTCTATTTGCACATTTATTGGAATCATATGCATTTAATAAAAAGTAATTAAATGATAGTCTTTCCAATGATGAAAATTTTTGTTGAGTGATTTTTTAAAAAATTTTTAGATGGGAAAACCTTTTTAACTTCTACCATAACAATGAAATTTTTCAAAAAGAGATTTGAATGTCAATGATTATACTTATTTTCAAGTTAAAAACAGAAAAGAAGTAAAAAAGTAAAATATTTGGCAAAGAAAATAAAAATTAAAAATTAAATTGTAAACATTCTATTTTGTCGAAAGATTTTTTTAAAATTCATTTGGTTTTGAATTTTGATTTTGATTGTACAATAGGGTTTTAATTGAAAAAATGAGTTTTGGGCACAAAAATTTAACTCTAAATTTTATTTGTAATTTTTTTTTAGTTTAATTTTTTTAGTTAAAAGAGTCAAAGTCAATTGGTATAAAAAATTTTAAAAAATGGTAAAAATAAAAAATGTGAGATTTTGCATGAAAAATTTTTGATTCAATTCAACTCTTGAATTTTATTTTAGATTTTAACTTTAATAGTTGAATAATTTTGAAAAGACTTGAGGCTCAATATATTGAAAAAAGAAATATTACAATGACAATAAAATTTGAAGAGAAATATTAGATTCAGTTAAATTAATTTCTTTCAAATCAAAAGGGATTCAATCCTATATAAAGACTTTAAATCTAAAATCAAAATGGAGGCATTATAGCAATTCACTTCAAAATCAAACAAAAGTCATTAAAAAAGAGAAAATTTAGGCAAGATTTTGAATCAATAAGGAAGAAACAATCAAGCAAAAAATTACAAGAAGTTTCAGTTTGAGTTTTTGGAAAAAAAGCTAAGATTTATAATAAGAAGTATAAGTTTTTTAAAGGTTAAAAATTATTGGAACCCGTGATTCATTGAGGTAATATTTACTTTCATTTTTTTTTATTTTTACATAACTTTTATAATATTTAATTGTTTAATTTTATTTTTATATTTATTACATGATATTAATTTTTGCATTACTAATATTATATTTATATGATTAATATTATATTTACATGATAATTTATTTGCCTAATATTTTATTTACATGATTAATATATTTGCATGACCATTAATATGTTTGCATGATTTTTAATTTATCTGCATGATTATTAATTTATCCGCATGATTATCAATTTATCTATTTGTGTGATTACATGATTATTATTATTATATATTTAATTGGATTTGTATATTATTATTATTTGTATTATTATATATTTAATTACATGTTTATTTACATGATTTATATTATTATTTGCATGATTATATATTTAATTACATGTCTATTTGCGTGGTTATTAATTTATTTATTTATGTGATTGTATGATTATTAATATATTTATTTGCATGGTTATTTATTTATTAATATTATTGTATGATTTTATATTTATTGTGTGATATGATATTATATGTTATTGCATGATTAATATTATATTTGAATGATATTTAATTGTATGTTTCTGTATTTATTGTGTGCATAATTGCATGACTATACATCATTACTATTATATTTGTGTGATTATATTTGATTGCATGGTTATATTTAATTGCATAATTCTTAATATATTTGCATGATATTATATATTTATATGATTATTATTATTATTGCATGATAATTAATATATTTGCATGACATTCTTGCATGATCTAGGTATGATATTATTACATGATATTTAATATGATTTATAATATATTTGCATGATATTCTTGATAGAATTTTTGCATCACCGTGTTATGATTTGATTTGCATGATAAAAACCATCTTTGTTAAAACTTAGATAAGATAGCACATAATTAATTTGGTACTAATTTAAGGTATAAAATGGTGCTAATACTTTTCCTGCATGTAACTGACTCTTAAACCTTAGTTCTAATAATGTAGACCAGAACTTATTCTTTTTAAAAACTCTTAATTTATACTTAGAACAACCTTAAAAATGATAGATTTATATAAGTGGCTAATCACACCTAAATAAAAAATATTTGTGGTAACTTCATAGTTTTTATGTCTAATGGGTAAGTTCTTTCAACCTAAACGTTATGACATGAATAATTAGAAAATAAAACGATTTTAGGATTTTTTTAATGAAAAACAAAATAAATTTGACGATCTGAGTCTTTTTAAGAAAACAAACAAGTTTTCCTTAATAGCTTAAAGATGAAAAGTTTTCTAAGGTACTTTGCTAGAATGTTGGAGGAAAACTAAGAAAGTTTTCAATATTTAAATTATGAGATTTAATTAAGGATAAAAGATCATTCAATTATAATAATATTAGATTAATTGATACCTATTGGGATGAGCATTATGTGGTTCTAATACTCTTTTCACATATAACAAATTCTTGAACCTAATTCTAAGATCCAAATTAGAAACTATTATTTTTAAGAAGGGTCAAATTATACAATTAGTCTGTATACTTATATGGCATTTAAACTTCAGTTCTTATCTAATAATTTGCAAAAATTAGATCCTCGTACTAATTTATCAAATAATGTTGGTCGAATTGATAACACCGCTACTTCATCTCCATTAAATAGTTGACATGGCCATTAAACCATGTTGATGTAGTTGTTGACCATGTTAACATGACCATTGACCATACTGACGTGTCATTGACTTATTGACGTGATAATTAGGATTGATGAAATCAGTAGTTAAATTATGTAAATGGTCCTTATACGAAATTTGGTATTTAGTCTTTCTATTTACATCAAATTTAAAATTTGTCCCTATACTCACATGAAATTTGAAATTTAATCCCTCTAATATAAAAAATATTTTGAATTTTTTTAGTTTTTTCAAAATATTAAAATTTAAAAATATTTTAGTTCCTCTAATATGTTAGTTTTTATTATATATAATTAATTATTAATAATATCATATTAATAATATTATTATCATTTATACTAATCAATTATAATATTAATAATTTAAATTAATATATCAAAGTTAATATTATTTTAATTAGTATAAATATATCATAATGAAAACTTTCAATGTTTTTGATCTTCACAAATAAAAAGTTATTTAAACAATTAAGTATGATCTAATTTAATAGTCTTTTAACAAGACTAATAATGTAAAATTAATATAGTAAAAATATATTTAAATAAGTAAAAATTTATAAAAAAAAATAATGTAACTAAAATTTATATAATTTATAACTAAACACATCAAAAATTTATTGACAATAATTTTTAAAATAATTAAAAATATTTTCTTAATTATGAAATTTTGCATTTTGTGAATATTTGGTTTACTTTGAATCATAAAATATCTAGCATCTTATAGTGATAAAAGAAAGCACAAATTTAAAGTAAAAATGTCTATAACTTAGAATTTTATTTTGGCAAAAATGATTTCTAGAAATTTAAGTTTCGGAGGTCAAAACTTTATAAATCATCACAAACAGTACATATTAGTTTAGATTTTATTTTTGATGATTAGCAAAGTTTTGACCTTCAAAACTTAGACTTATGAAAATCATTTTTGTCGAAACAAAATCTAAATTGTAGTATTATATTTCTACTTTAAATATGTACTTTCTTTATCACTAGAAATTGTGGGATGTTTGAGATTTCATGGCTCAAAATAAATCAAATGCTCACAAAATGCGAAAATTTCAGAATTAAAAATTTTTTTAATTTTTTTAAATTATTTTCAACAAATATTTAATGTATTTTTTTTATAAATTATATAAATTTTAGTTATATTATTTTTAATAAAATTTTACTTATTTTAATATATTTTTACTATATTAATTTCATATTATTAGTATTATTAAAAGACTATTAAGTTAGATTTAAACTTAATTATTTAAATAAGCTTTTTTTTGTGAAGACCAAAAAATTTGAAAATTCTTATTATGATATATTTATACAATTAAAATAATATTAATTTTATATATTAATTTAAATTATTAATATTATAATTGATTAATATAAATGATAATAATATTATTAATATGATATTATTAATAATTAATTATGTAAAATAAAAACTAATATATTGTAAAAACTAAAATATTTTTAAAATTTAATATTTTAAAAAATATTTAAAATTCAAAAAAAATTTTATATTAGAGGGATTAAATTTCAAATTTCACACAAAAACAGGAACTAAATTTCAAATTTCATACGAGTATAAGGA